TTCGCCATCTGCTTTTAAATTAAGAACCCTTGTACAACAAGAGCATTATGAGATGGGAGAAGGATTGTGGCATACCACATTATTTTTATGTAATATAATATTGCTGTTTCCTTTTTGGTGTGTTGTATTTTGGAATCCAAAATCAAAATTAGTGCTAAATACAAGTTTGCTATCTTGGGCATCTGGATACCATCTTGCTATATCTGTTCAATGTTGTAAATGACCAAAGGACATGTGTTTTTCCCAAATTGTTTTTTGTTGAGCAATTGGTAGTTTGGCTAAAGGCAGAAACCTGGTTCTGACCTGAAAACATCCTTGAGCCATAGACCTCTATCCAGAGTGCAAACAGAGGAAAAATTCTTTATCTTCTCGAGTTCCCAGGAGTATGGCGAGAGACATTATCCCACAGATGAACAGCCAGACTCCCTGCCTCATTGCTGTAATCAGACAAAAAAAAAAAAAAAAAAAAATCCAACTTGTACTCTTGGCTGATTTCCTGGCTGGATCGAGATTGGACACACGGTTTCTAAATCCCATATAGGCTGAATATTAATAGTTCTGGGTATGCAAAGCCTTCATTTAAATAATCTCAATAATTTCACTTTTTCTGAGAGCATTGGGCAATATGGAGACAACTAATCTGCTAGTGTCTCATGAAGAAATTTTATAGCAATGTTTTAATACTTGCAGTATTAATTGCTGCCTCTGACAAAGGAAGGTGTTTATATCAACAGGATAATTAAGATTGAATGATCAAATAGGTAGTTATTGGTCACCAGTAGTATTACAGCTTTGCACTAGGCACGATGGGTGTACTAAAGAGGGAGAAAGATATATTCTTTCCTTGATGCTGCTTCTCTTTGAGGTGGATTTTTACTACTGGGCATTTGGGCATTATGGCACTTTGTCCACTATTGGAATTGCTTTAATATGCAGAAATGTATTATGTGCAGTTGCCTGTGTTAATATGGACACATTTCTCATCTAGAAAAGAGATCATTGACTGTTTTCATAAACCAAATGTCCCTTCTTTTTCTACAATGTAGTAAGCCAGCAGATGCTCTTGGTGCCCCATTCATACCTCTATACACTGAAGACAGCTTTCTGCAAACACCTGGCACTCTATCTGCAGGCTTTTTCTCTGGAAACAGTAGCCCTCAGCCACCTGTCAATGGGGAACAGGTAAATAAATAGGTGCCCCCTTTGTGAGATGGTTCTCGAGGATGAGTTATACACCAAGTCTCAGAGCTTCCCAGTTTCCCACAGTGGTGACTTAGTTGATAACATACTCTTTATTGACTTCCTCTTCTTCCCTGACTTACTACCCTTGCCTCCTCTAGGTGTTTCCTAGTGTCATCTTGCAGATAATTGACTTGTACTGAAATCCTTGTCTTGAAGTCTGTTTCTGGGGTAACCCCAACCAAGAAAATAACCTTTTCTAATACAACCTCTTCATTTAGGTAAAAAAAAAAAAAAAATAAGGATTCTCCCAAGACATCACCATTCCCTTCCCCTTGCTCAATATTCAGTTTGTCACTTATATTTGCACATTGAGCCCCATCTTGCTATAGCACCTTAGTTCTGGTCTTCTTCCACTCCTGCCTGGATTACTGCAGGAGAATTCTCACCAGAATTTCTACTTCTGGGTTAGACTCTTTAGATAATCTTATAAACCACTGCCAGACAAAATTTACCAGTCATCTGTTGGTTCCATGGTTTTAACATTTAAGAATCTTCCGAGGTTCCTACACTCACTATTGTACTGATATCTAACCCAGATTCACGATTTTAAATATCTATGCCACTGATTCCCAATAAGTATATTTCCATATGGATCCTTCCTCTCAAATTCCACTCTTGTAGATACCACTACCTATTTGACGTCTGTACTTGGGTGCCTATTAGAATTTTCAGATTCAGAATGTCAGTGCAGAATCCCTGATCTCCCCCTACACACATGCTCTTTCTGCAGCCTCCTCCATCTCAGCTGATAGCAGCTACATTCTTCTAGTTGCTTAAACCTAAAACTTTGGAGATAGCTTGATTCATCTTGTTCCCATCCCAGCCCCCACAATCCACCCCAATCCATTAGGAATCCTCATGTTCCTAGCTTCAAAATATATTCAAGAATCTAACTACTTCTCACCCTCTGCACAGGGAAAATTCTGGCATGAGCCAGCATCATATTTGACCTGGATTGGTATGCTTCTTTAGTTGTTCCCTCTGCTTCTTGTCATGCCTTCTTCCATCTCTTCCCCAATACAGATGACAGACAGCTCCCTGAAAACTGTTGGGTCAGATCATGGCCCTCTCCTGAAAAAAGCCATGCAGTGGATCCCTGTCTTACTCAGGGAGAAGGCTGATATCCTTGCAATCTCCCGTAAGGGCTGACTTGAAGAGTTCCTCATATCACTCTGACACCCATCTTCTACTTTCCCCTCTCTCACCTCACTACAGCCACATTAATTAATTAATTAATGTATTCATTAATTAATGTATTCATTCACTCAACAAATATTTCTAAGCATTTGGTTCTGTGTCAGCCATGTTCTAGGCATTAGGGATACATATAAAATAAGACACATATGTTTCCTATCTTCTTAAAGCTTAGGTTTAGTAGCTTTTAAAGTGTGGTTGTTTTAAGGTGTAATTCTAATCAACTATACATCTCAGGTTTCTTCTGCAATATCTTGTGTCTGCAAGATCTTGTGTCTCACCCCCCACCCCCCGTTTGTGCTCCAGACAGGAAAAAAGAAAAAGAAGAAAACAAGGAAAAGACAATTCCTATAGCTAGAAAGAAAAACTCTCCAAAACAAAATCCCATAACCTGTTGGGTCCTCATTGGTCAAACAGTGTCATTTGGCCACCCTAGCTGCAAAGGATGCTGGGAAATGCAAGTGTTTAGGAAGGTTTGTTGCTGCCATGAAAAAAATTAGGTGTTCCTTACCACCCATCCCCCTCCCCCGTCAGTTAAGAAGAAAGGGAGAACATACCATATAGATAAATAGCAGTTTCTACCATGCCTGGTGTAAAATTACCCGTGCTTTACACTGAGTCTAGGTCCTGCCCACTTTGGAGCATTTTAATCAGAAAGGCATTACTACACTCACTTGTTTTTATATTAGAATAAGGGCTATTTATTACCATCAGCTCAGGAAATGACCCAGTGTGGCCTTGTAAGACAGAATTAATTTGCAATGACTCCAGCTGAAAGTTGGCTGCCTTTTAACTTAATAACTTGAGAACTGTCAGTATCCTTTGAAGTTAATGATAGTTGTAAAGTGCAAATAAAAATTTTCCGAAAGGAAATCAAACTCACCAAGACTAGTAAATGAATGCTCTGTCAGTACGACTACTAATGTGTGTGTGAGGGGGTGGGGTGTTAAAGGAGTGGGGCAGAGTTTAGAATTTCATTGTTATTTTGTCTTGTTTTGTTTTGGCTTTTGGATTATAGAATATCCAACAAGTTTTCCCCTAGGAAATGAAATTTGAAGCGTTTAATAGGCTTCTGGTTGGCAAGTAGAGTATTAGCTGCAAAGATATTTTGTGTGAGCATTTGTGTTGGAAATACTTAAAATGTGAGTGTCACCTCTGGTTTAAATGTATTTGCACAGCAGGACCTCATGAGGTAAATGAATGCACAGTTACTTCAGTCTTTCTGCCAGAGGAGGTGATTTTCTGAATAGGTATATGGATCCCCATTTTAATTAGCTTTTATTTTCTTTAATGAGTAAAGTAACCGGCTGAACCAAGCATAAATGATTTATCAGTATAGAAATAGCAGGCAACTGTTTGTCCAAGTTATGTGAAGTAGCAAATGGGTCATTCCAAGAAATCATCAGGCAACGTGTCATGTACCTGTGAAATGCAACCCTTTCTAATTTCAGTCCCAGGCTGTTAGCAGTGTGGAAGCTCCTAATAAAGCTGGAGAAACTTTCTCCCATTGGAGCATCCTGGCCTTTCATTTCAACGATGCCACTCAAAGTTTGTTTCAGCAGGAAGCAGCACTTTTGATTTTTTTTCATGTTGCTCATTTGTGGGTTTATTTCTACTTAATTTGCTGATCCGAAGAGATGCCAGATTGACATCCCTGGGGACTGCAATTTCCTGTTGGTTCCTGTGCAAATGAAGGCGGCGAGCAGGAGCTCCGTGCTTGTTGGATTCTTGATGATTTTAGGTTTCCAGAGGCAGAAACTTAAAACCCTCCTGGAACCTCAGTTGATATCCTCTGCCCACCACTGCCCCCCAAAGACATAACAATCAAGTTAATTTTGTTAATGTTGGGTTGGGAGAAATGAAAGGATTCTTTCTCATGATGACTTTCTCAAATGCGACCTTTTCAGAATTCCAGTGTTTTCTATAATTCAGTGCTTTTAAAATGGCCTGGTTGTAAGAGATATGTGCTTCGTAAAAAATGTAGATCATCAGATTCTTCCCTTGGAGATTCTGTTCACTAAGGCCTGAGTGTTGCCCAAGGTTCTGCACTGCTAACAAGTATGTCAGGTAGTTCCTATCATCAGGCAAGTTGAGGAAGCGCTCCTCCTGTAGAAATAGGAAGCACAAAGGATCTTAGACTAAAAGCACGGAGTTTAGTATTCTCTTTTACACTTCTCATTTCTTCATTATGGAGTGTTTATTACTGGAATACACTTAAAAGACATTTAGTGCATTCATAACAACATGGCCGTTGCAGCAGACCATTTCTCTCTTCATAAAATGGAAGTAATAGCTTTCACAGCAATGAAAAACAGCAACAACAATAACAACGACAGCAACACTTCCCTAACAACACCACATTCATTTATTTAGTTTAAATACCAGAAGTATTTAAAGGTCCCTAAGAAGCCACTGATGGGTAGTTAGAGGCCATCTTCTTTGTGCTTTGTCACTAGTAAAACAAAAACATAAAACACAACTATCCATCTTTTCTTTTTCTTTTTTAAGATTTTATTTATTTATTTGACAGAGAGAGAGCACACAAGCAGGGGGAGCGGCAGGCAGAGGGAGGGGGAGAAGCAGACTCCCTGCTGCGCAGGGAGCCTGATGCAGGGCTCAATCCCAGGACCCTGGGATCATGACCTGAACCGAAGACAGACTCTTAACTGACTGAGCCACCCACGTGCCCCTAGCCATCTTTTCTTGAATGTTCATACCATTCAGAGGAATCATGGTTATGGAAGGATACCTTTTCTAAGAGAACTATGTTTATTTTACTGGGACATGTGGGTATGCTAAGCAGTTTGGACATGTTCTTAGAAAGCACAAGAAGATAAAGTAGCCACCCTCAACTCCCACCAGACAAAAAGATATCAGAGTCTAAGCACAATTTTAATATGACTGCAAACAACATGCTGATGAGTTTCATAGTAGTAATTTTCTGCCTGTTGTAACTATCTTGGAAAACTTGCCAGGACAAGATCATGAGGCATATGATTCTTCTGGAGTAAGACCATGTATTAAAATTCAATCCAACAATAGATTATGAGTCTATCTTATGGTAGGTGATGGATATATATTTAAAATCATTAATCTATCAAAGCTGTAACTCATAACTTTTGATACTCTGATATTATCCTGAGAATTTCATTTAATCTCCCTGGATCATGTGGCTTATAAGACTTTCTTTCACAGCTGCAAAATTACTTGAAAGTTTATCTATCATCATCTTCTCTTATCCAACACATCTCAGAAGCTGTTGATGGTGTCTCACAGTCACTACTGGAGTATAATTCCCAATTCTTGCCTCATCCTGGATCTACTGAAAGATAGCATCAATCCTTAAATATTCAATTGCCTTTCAAGTGAATGATATGTAAAGCATTTGAAGTCTGCTAGGATCTGCACAGAAAGAGACAGGCCAATATATTCTAGTTTCTCCTATTCTAAAATTTCACTGTAGACAATTCTTGACTTAAAATATGGTCAGAAATGGTTAAAAATGTACTGTTGTTTAGACATTACCAAATTAGGTTGAAGTGGAGCCAAATTGGCATAGATTGGTTGTTGGTGTCTCATTTTGCAAATTAATCCAAAGTTTGTTGTTTACCAGATATTATTTCAAACTTATAAATTTTCTTAATGTATATCAGTGTAAAATAAAAGACACATTTTTTCTAATTTGAGAAATTTGAAAACACTTTCAGATTCCTGTGTCTGCTAAAAAAATATATGAATCGCAACATGAGTTGAAAGCTTCCCTCATTGTCTTTTATTTTGAAGCCTTGCAGATTTCCTTTCAAGTTAATTACTCTGGTTGACTTATAAAGTAAAGATGCAAAAATGCTACTGTAAGTCCAACTTGGGGAAAGAGGCCTGAGTGGCATTTTGGACATGCTTAGATGGTCAACCTCGGCCAAATTTCTAAGAGATTTAGCTTACCTCTGCATGAGGCTACAGAATTTAATATTACTTATCTACTTTTCAAAAAGTTGGAAATGACCTTCATATATAGGAGAAAGGAAATGGCCATATACAGGCAAGATAATCTGGAGACACTTCTTAGAAAGTACAGTATCCTAGATTCTATCCCAGACCTACCCAATAAAAATATCCATGCGGAAGTTTCCAGAATAAATAACCCTGGTGATTCTTATCATTCTGCTGACTCTTATCATTTGGAAACATCTCACTATTACATCTGTAAGGTCAAATTTTATTTATTATATTCTGCTTCTAAAGAATTTGTAATAAGGAAATATTCACAATAAAATACTTAATGACACAAAAATAGAATATAAAACTATATAGACAGTATAATCAGAATGCATCACAGAAGAAATAAAAGTATCATTATAAAAGCTGGCCTCAGATGTCCTCTTTTCGTTTAGGAAAATACCTGGATGTAATTGGGAAGGCCTAGTGTCTGCTTGAGAGGAGGACCAGCAGGAGACAAAGCAAAATCGAGAAGATTGCAGGAAAGTGGCAGGAATTTTTAGTTCCCTGGGTATCCCTTAGGGCAAGGATAGGTATGTTTAAATGGGAAAGAAAAGGAGACTGAACAAGAGATTCAGACTATAGAGACAAATGATTAACTCTTCAATGAGGTATTACAGATGGTGAGGATAACCAAGACGCAGAGGGCCAGGGATGTCCACTATTGAAAGTTAAACTCTTTGCTGTAGGGTGCAGTCCTGAACCACCGTGTAATCCCCTCCCGTGCCCTAACCTTCAGTGTGCATGCTCTGGAGGACTGACGCCAAAAGGCACTGACTGGTACGTCCACAGACACGTTGATGTGAGCAGAGAGAAAAGAACATCAGCAAATCAGAATGACACAGTGTAATAGATGCAAATATGTAGCCATTTCAGTTATCTCCCAAATGTAAGAGTGACACCAGGAACCTAGAAGATCTGGGTAGTCCCACATAGCTGGCATTTTGGCGGCGCACATGCGTGCACACACACAACATGAGAAAGACCTAAAGAATGAATGGCAAGGGGCGCCTGGGTGGCTCAGTCATTGAGCGTCTGCCTTCGGCTCAGGTCATGATCCCAGGGTCCTGGGATCGAGCCCCGCATCGGGCTCCTTGCTCTGCGGGAAGCCTGCTTCTCCCTCTCCCACTCCCCCTGCTTGTGTTCCCTCTCTCGCTGTGGCTCTCTCTGTCAAATAAATAAAATCTTAAAAAAAAAAAAATGAATGAATGGCAAAAGGTAGGAAGTTTATCTCTGCACATTGAGTTAAAAGTAGGATGCATATCTCGTTTTGTTGTTTTCCTCCATCCAGCATATATTACCTATAGAACAATGGGGAAACAGTGATTAAACTCTGGGAAAATAAAGATAATCTTCAGGTGTTTTTCAAAAAAAAGTTCTAAATTTGATAGAGATTAAGCCAAATCTAATACTCATTTTAACTACGCTATTAGTTAACATTTTAGAAAGACCTTTATCGGTCAGTCATTCATAAATACAACCAAATCCCTGGGTTCTACACAAAATAATTTACACTGAACTATTGGATGATGCATAGAGTCCACTGGTGCAAAGTTGGGGAATATATTTAATGATTTTATATTCATCTGTACAATTCTTGTTGCTATCAATCATACTTTGATTCATGCCTTCTTTTCCTTCTTTTAAAGATAACTTTTTCCCTATTTAAAGAATAATACTTAGGGACACCTGGGTGGCTCAGTCGTTAAGTGTCTGCCTTCAGCTCAGGTCATGATCCCAGGGTCCTGGGATCAAGCCCCGCATCAGGCTTCCTGCTCAGCGGGGAGCCTGCTTCTCCCTGTCCCACTCCCCCTGCTTGTGTTCCCTTCTCTTGCTGTGTCTCTGTCAAAATAAATAAATAAAATCTTAAAAAAATAAAGAAAGAAAGAATAATACTTATAAAGCAGTATTTTATTTAGCCCCAAACGGGCAGTTTCTGCTGTCAGATAAAGTGAGTTTGAAGGCCACTTCTACCCCTTACTCTTGTGTCACCTTGAGTGTTATTTTCTCTCTCTGCAGTATGTTTATCCATCTGTAAATAGGGATAATGATGCTTTTTATTCCATAAGGCTTTTGTGAGGATTACACGAGTTAATGCGTGTAAAGGGCTTAGCATAATCTGTAACCAATTTTACAAACTACATTAACTATGATTAGTATTTGTTCATAATAGAAACTTCCGGAAAAATAAAAGCATTCAGAAGGAAACAAATATCATCTAAATTCTTACATTGAAGGCTAGAGGAACTATCATTTTGGTAACTTTTCATTTTTCTTTGTTTAAACAAAAAATACGAAAATGGATCCCCTTCTATGTATGTACAAAAAAACCAAAAATGGATCCTCCTCTGTGTATTATAATCAAATTGCTAAACTTTATATAAACTAAATAATTTTCTCTGTTATTAAATGTACTTCCAAAACATTATTTCCAGTGGTCACATCCTTTTCCATTTATAAGGAAGCATCATACTTCATTTAAATAATATTGTATTGTTGGATTAGCTATTTTGAAATCATTGATATTTTAAGAAAGCTTCACTGCCTGTTCTTATAACTAAATATTTGTGCATATTCATGATTATTCCCTTAGAATCAATTTTTAGAATTGGAATTGCTGAACAAAATGGTATATTTTTATGTGTTTAATACACGTTTATTATGTATTGCTAAAGTCCTTCCAGAAAGTTTGTGCCAATTATCACTTATAATCATAAATTAAATACTCTGTAAGCAACAGGCACATACTTTTTGCCAAAAATAATGGCAGTGACTTTTAATGTTTTTACTTATATTTTATTGAGATTGAAAAAACTGGCTATTTTTTTCTTGTATATTACATGAGTATTTGAATCTTTTAAAGATTATTTTTCTACTTCCTAACTTGTCACATTCACTGGAGTGACATTTATTGAGCACCTACTGCTGTCAGGGACATTGCCTGGGGTGAGGAGTATACGGAGAAGGAAAACTAAAGTCGATGGTATCTAAGAGGGATGAAGGCTACTGAAATTTGCATGGTTCCTCTGGGGGCCTTGAAGATGCATATTAAACTTTAGAAGCCAAGGGATCCCTCCTAGAACTGCCCTTCTTCCAAGTAAAATGGACCCAAAAAACAGGGAGAGGTGACAAGTCCCAGGCAAAGGGAACTGGTATTTCTTGAGCATATTTCAATGAGATAAATAACTCCAATTTCCCTTATTAAAAACAGTAACTGCTTTCATTTGTTGGACCTGCAAACTGTAACGGGCTCACCCTGATTTTCATCTGTGTTTCTCAACCTTCAGTCTTTTTGACATTTGCAATTGTTGCCATATCTACATGCTAATTTTCCTTAAATTGAGCTCCTGTGTTTATTTTTTAAAGTTTCATTTAAAAGGAAATTTTCTATTATTGATGGAAAATCACTAATATTTACCACATACAAATATAATAAGAATATACGCTTTCATGTATACCACCTAAAATCATCACATCCCTTCCCGCTCCTCCCATCTCCTGCCAGAGGCAGAGTGTCCCATGTGGGGAAACATGGCTCCCAACCTTGCTTCCCTAACAGAAAAAACGGAGTCACTAAGGACAGCAGGACAAGACTGTGGGAACTCTGTAAGAACCTGGGACCTCTGTGCTTTCTCCTGTTGGTTTCTTCCTTCTCATTCTCTTCTGTCTGGTTCCCAGGCATAACTGGGGGAGACAACTTTTACAGTATAAAGGGTGTGTGTTCCTGTCAGTGGAGGGGAAGGAGAAGAGCTTCAGAGGTTCAGCCACGGCTCGGAGAAGGTGCTCAACATACCTTGTTTAACTTCATTTGAACCGTAAAGAACCAGAGACTCAGAGCATTAAAACTGAACCACGGGCTTCATTCTCTGCGTAATTCAAGGCTGCTTTTTCCATCAGTAGATCCCAGAGGTGGTTGGACAAGCCTGGTGATTTCCATTTACCAACACAGATTAAGCCTGTCTGGCCAGGCTTCGTCTGGTAGCATTCTCTTAATTAAATATAATGACAATTTGAATAAAACTTTGCTTCTTTGAACATTTAAAAAACCCTCACTGTGTCAGCCTCTGTTTGTTATTGTGGGGCATGACAGTTATCTGAAGAGAACCAGCCAGATTTAATCTGACAGCCACAGTCAGGGAAGAGTGCTACCAATCTAATTACCCAGTAATCTAGTCAGAATGAGAGTAATTCTAGGCCTTTCTCAGGCAGCTAATCACATTTCCTGTACATTAGCAGCCACACATGGGGAGCTTTTAGGGACAAGGTTTTTGGTCTGCATGGGTTTTGTGAGCCTCATAGTGGTGTGATTTCTTTGTTGACTTCCCCCAAAGTAGGTTCTTCAGGCTTTTTTTTTTTTTTTCCTGCTCCTTCCTACCTGTCCCTTCATTGCTAAGATGTTCTTAGTTCACCTGCAAGTTCTAAGTTTGACAACCTTGTGACCTTCCTTTCAGAATGCAGCAGCAGAAGAGAGGTGAATACGTGGATCGATTTGCTTATTTTCTGGTGCAGGAACAAATTAAGGAATGCTATGCAATCAGTGGGGTGGGGTAAATGAAAAAGTCATTTTCCTACAAGGAAAGCACCGTTTTTTGTGGTTTTTTTTTTTTTTTGCGAACTGTTTTGCATGTCATTTCTCTGTTGTGGTAGGCAATTTTAGAAAGAGGTTTTGTAGAGAAAAAGAGCAAGTGAAAAAAGACAGCAGATAGTCTGTCAGTGGCACTGAATGTCAAGCTCTAGGCAATATCAATAATGCATTATTTCAATAATCAGAATTTTAACAAGGAATGTGAAGACTGGGGGAAAAAAAAGGAGGAAAAAGAAAAGTATACCTAGTGAACAGGAGAACTTGTGCCTCCATGTTAATTAATACCCTGCCATACTCTTTCTCTGAAAACCTCCATTTAGGATAATTTCGTATTATTTCTAGAAATCAATATGTTTTTCAAGTGCATTGGTTTCTGACAGGCCAAAATTAAAGTGTCTCTGAAAAATCATTATACCAGCACCGGTCTCTTTTCTTCTAGTCCTATATTTGGAAAATTCCTCCAACTTTGCATAATCACTACTTGGTCAGTTGGAATCTAAATATTTGAATCTAATAGAGGGGAGTTCCAGTCATCAGTCGGTTTATAATATAGTAATTTCCCCCAAGTTATCCGGGATAAATAGACTTCCCAAATAGCCTCTAGCACTCATAACACATTAGCTGGAAGGCTATAAAAAAGAGGAAATGTGAGTGCTGTGTTAAATGGTTGTGTTATAATCTTGAACAGGTTTCAACCACAGTTTGCACTCTCTCAGCTGAAATTTTTTTGTGAACCTAAAATTGTTTTTATTCCTGTGATTGTGGGAGTGACACAGCCCAAGGGGCTACCTCGTCTGGGTGTGCCTCCCTGCCTCCCTGCGCCTCCCTGCTGGGTGTGCCTCCCTGCTGGGTGTGCCTCCCTGCTGCTGAATCACTGGTAGATTTGGGCCTAGCGTCCGTGAACCTGGAGGCTGGCATGTCTGGGGCGGGGCATGCAGTCAGATTTCCGAGTCATTGTTGCACTTCTAATTATGTTGTCTCCTCATTTGTTCTAGGTTCAGATTCCGCAAAAACTGTTGATGTGAGCTGATCTAAGGAGTTCAGTAATACTATAAATAGACCCTAGTTTTGGACTATCACCCAATATAAGCGCCTTATTGCAAGCTCTATAGTTGTTTGACTCTCAAGTGCAGATGGAAGTAGAAAGAGTACCACCTAAGAGTAGTTCATGCTGGCATTTCCATCAGTCCTTCCATGGGTTAGAATGTGTGTTTCAATCCAGATGAAATGTATTCTCTGGGTCACTAATTGAAATGTTTACCAAATAGGGCGCCTGGGTGGCTCAGTTGGTTAAGCGACTGCTTTCAGCTCAGGTCATGATCCTGGAGTCCCGGGATCGAGTCCCGCATCGGGCTCCCTGCTCGGCAGGGAGCCTGCTTCTCCCTCTGATCCTCCCCCCTCTCATGTGCTCTCTGTCTCTCTCATTCTCTCTGTCTCAAATAAATAAATAAAATCTTTAAAAAAAAAAAAGAAATGTTTACCAAATAGAAATTATGTTTAAACATGTCAATAGGATGTTGCCTTATTGAACAACTTTCATCTGAGAATGCGAAAACACTTATGGGAAATTATTGCCACAGAGGCTAATCCCCGCAGAAATGTTGCCTAACCACAGCTCACTTCTTACAGAATCAAAATGAGAAAAGAAAAAAAATTATGTTATAGCGATGACTTGTAATGATTCCAGCATCTCTTAGGAGATAATTGGCAGAAATAAAAAGAACAGCAGTTCTTACATTTCTCAAGGCTATTTCTCAATACGAGTTAAAATGATTCAGGGATGCAGGAGAGCACGAAGGAGACTGCATATTAAGAGCTTATCTGAGCAATGAAACCTCTGGGTATTTGCAAATGTGGCCCTCTTTTCTCTGCTTTAAACCCTAGATTTGAATTACGCAAGTGATTGTGACCTGCAAATCAGTATACATTCATTGTTGATTCTTCTGTTCAAATTAATACCTGCTGAATGAGTTGAGCTTTGTGAAAGTTCAGCTTTGTGTCTCATTCATTCTTTGCCAGGGTGTCTGATGCTGCCCAAGGAATGTTCCAGGACAAAAGGGTCTTTATATAAATAACAATAATAAATTCCATTATTGCCATATGTGAATTATCAGCCTGCCCTCGATCAAGTTAGTTTCTGTACAAAGAGTTCTATCAACTTTGAACTTTAGTTAAATCGTGATGAGACAAGGATTCCAAATTTTGATCCAGGATAGGGGATCTTCCATTTTACTGTATCATTTTTAATACTCTTTGTTTCCTATCACCTCTGATTTGGTTTCTCTTTTTAAAAAGTCAATTAAGGTAACATGTTTTAGTTTGGAGGCAGTCTACTTTAGGCTTGTGATCATTTTTCTTTCTTATACAATTAAAAATTTCCAACGGGGTTATTTGGTGTTCTGCAACATGGATGGCATACCTCCCATATTGGCATTGTTCAATGGCTTTGATAATATTAAATGAATTGGCAATTTGGGTGAATTATTATTGGCCATTATCCAAACCTTCCTCTAAACATAATACAGTCTTTTAAATTTATATTGTCTGTTTACATGATCCTTTGTCATTGCCTAAAATTTGGAAATTCTTGCAAAGCCCTACCTATGCAATCTTGTTGGGCATGCAGTAATATTCTATATTGGTAACAGAATCCTGACACCCTGAATGAGGTTTCCTTAAATCGGTGCTGTCCAATAGAGTAACCATTTGCCACATGTACCCGTTTAAAGTGAAATTTAAGTTAATTAATTAGCTAGTTAATTAAAATTCGGTTTCTTAGTTGCACTAATCACATTTCAGGTGCTCAATAGCTACATGGAAGTGGTGGCTTCCTGATTGGACATGGCAGGTGTAGAATATTTCTGTCATGGCAGAAAGTACTGGTGGATAGCACTTCCTTAAATACTTGATAAACTTGCAAAAGAGAGTATCTACATTGACTCAGAGGCTGAGAGCAATTGTGGCCATACAGTCCCAGGCTCAGTACCAGAAACAGCAAAGTCAATGAAAGTGGCTGAGACTCTCGGAAGGTCCACACTTGTAATTACACCTCATCATGAATTCGTATTGAAATTAAATGAAGTCATTCGAATGTTCGTTGTATTAAATTCTTTAAAAGGAACAGGGCAAACAGCCACTTGACAGTTCTTTTTATTTCACTGCTCTTAACATGTCACCTAACGACTCCTACAAATATGTCCACTTCTAACTCCTGGTTAAAGTTTCTTAGCAATTATTCCGTTTTCACTTCATACAAAACCACATCTCCACCATACCAGGCAAGGGCTCATTTCTCCTCCTTCTTTTTCCTTCCTGATTACAGCTTTCTCTTCCTTTCTTTTTAATTCTGTGCCCTTCCCTGCCCTTCCCTTGGCCTTCCCTTGCCCTTCTCTTGACCGTTCCTTGCCCTTCCTTTGCCTTTCCCTTCCCTTCCCTTTCTCTTCCCCTGTTCCTACAATTCTGTCTTAATGATATTGTCAGAGGGAAGGAAGGGAGAAGAGTTAAGTGTGTCTTTTAAAGTAAATATTCTATTTTTGGAATCTCCTACTTGGTTCTGGTTAAGTAGAGACACTTTGGGGCAAGTGAGCTATCTTTTGTACTTATCATCCTCCTTCTGAATGTGTATATGTACGTGTGTAGGATTTGGGGGTGGGGGCAAATATCAGGTTCTACAGTATCTTTCCTCTCTTTTCTATCAAAATGCTAGAACCTGAATGTCCATGAGGCTGTGGTGACCCTTGCCAGGAAGCATCTTAGCTCTCTGTAGATACCTTTGCTTGTTCTGCTTAAAAGCTGGCACACATCAAACTCCAAAAAAGGCTTGTCTAAGGTTCAAAGTTTTCCCATGAGACAGTCAGAAGGAAAAAGACTAAATGTTCTATTGTCAGGTTTCTAAATAGAGGGGGGACTTCAGGAAGACAAAATGTGCTGGAATAATTTAGTGCACAAATGCACAAAATGAAACAAGTTGTGTTACTCGCTAGTGTCTTTAAAAGCATAGAATTTTCAAGAACTCCGGGTGATTGGGCGTATGTTATACTTTTCTCAGGCTGTGTATTCAGAGCAGGAGGTAACCTCTTTCAAAAACACGCTTTTACAAACCTGAAAGGTTAAGATTTGGTGATTTCATAGCACTCTGATATAGGTAAATAATTTTTTTTTTTTATTTGCGTGAGAGAGAATGAGAGACAGAGAGCATGAGAGGGAGGAGGGTCAGAGGGAGAAGCAGACTCCCTGCCAAGCAGGGAGCCCGATGTGGGACTCGATCCCGGGACTCCAGGATCATGACCTGAGCCGAAGGCAGTCGCTTAACCAACTGAGCCACCCAGGCGTCCCTAGGTAAATAATTTTTTAAACTGAATTATTGGCGTATTTTTTAACTGATTACCCTGAAAATATATGAGTTGTTAAATATATTTTTAAAACCCTCAGATCTCTTGTGAATGGCCTGCTGCTTTTTTACTGTCAGCAATATTTAACCCACTGCCGTTCCCAGAGCACGCTGTGCATGTGCTTTCTCTATAACTAGAATGCACTCCTACCTATCAACTATTTTGAGAACTTGGACTTATCATTCAATTTTGCCCACTTGCTGCATTTGCAATGAAGATCTGCCACCCCCATATTAGCAATCTACTGCTACATAGCAAGTTACCCGAATGCTTAGCAGCTTAAAACAACATTTGTTATCTCAGAGCCCCATTAGGTCTAGAACCTCTGAGTGGCTTAGGTTCTTGGAGCTTCTAAATCATCTTGCAGTAAAGGAAAGCAATTTTGTAGCATTCTTAGCTTTTCCCTAAACATCTCAAAATGTCTATTTTTTTTTCTTGTAAAATAAGCTTGTAAGAAATAAACTTGTAAGAAAGCTTATTCCTAGTCACTTCAATACATTAACATGGTTGGAAGAATCTCAGAGAACCCCAAATGTAATCCTTACATCATTCTTATTTTTCAGTTGCATTTGAGCCAGTTCATGTCACTGAAATACCCAATACAAAAGAATAAACTGTCTCATTCTTCCCAACTTTAGGAAAATGCCCTATGATGAATCAATGCAAATTCACCACCTGTTTTGAGATATAGAAGGCCTTTTGGTCGAACTTACATGATGACACTGTCCTCATTTCCAGCTTCAGAAATAATTGTGATTTTTAATAACATAACTCCTTTGGTCCAAGGCTCTCAAGATCTGTTAGTCTGTTACACACTCATTCAGTCCTTCCCTTCTTATAAACACTACATGTTGCCGTGTTATATTTTTTTACTTTTAATTAATTTTTAATTTATATTTTATTCAGTTGTTGAATAGACATTCTCTTCACATGGCAGTAAATGTTCAGACATGTCTCCTTCTACCCCTGACCATCATTAAGACAATTTCTCTCCTGAAGTCTAGGAAATCTTGCTATGTGGCTTCTCCCATTCAGGGTTGTGCAAATGTCATGTGAATTTATCATTACATTACCAACTGTGTCATCAAATTCTAACAGGTGACAATTTAAACTCATAAAAGCACATTCTTAGCATTAGTTTAGCTAGCTGGGCAAGGTAAGTGAGTAAAGTAAATATTTGATTTGTGGCCTGTGAAAGTGTATATTACTTGGGTTCTTACAAGTTGTAAGAAAAAAAGTACTGTCAGGAGTGATGAGTGTCTATTATAAGCATATGTGGGAACTGAGGAAGCATAATGGACATTTTTGGTAGCTGCAAGTCATTCTGGATCTCAGAGATCCCCAGTCTGAAGTGGTTTCTTTCTTTCTTTTTTTTTTTTTTAAGATTATTTATTTGAGAGAGAAAGAGAGAGAGAGAAGAGCGAGCAAGGACAGGAGTTGGGGGGAGGGGCAGAGGGAGAGGGAGGAGCAGACTCCCGCTGAGCAGGGAGCCCGATGCGGGGCTCGATCCTGGGACCCCAAGATCATGACCTGAGCCAGAGGCAAATGCTTAACTGAATGAGCCACCCGGGTGCCCCTGAAGTGTTTTTATTTATTTATTTTTGGTTTGGTTTGGTATTTTCTGTTTGTTTGTGAGTCAGAAGCTAATAATTTTTATTTATTTTTAATTAATTATTTCTTAAATTCAAGTATAAGTAACATCCCAGTCTGAAATGCTTAAGAAACAACTGGACAGGTGGCAATGGCACACTGTCATTCATGAAACATGGATAAGTCTACTCACCATATTTTCTTCTACCCAGAAGCAAGTTTTGACTATCTTTTTGTGTGTATTCATATACTCCTAAAAGATAAATTGCTTAAAAATAAATAAATAAATAAATAAATAAATAAAAGATAAATTTCTGAGTGTATCAGTCAGTATGCAATGTGGAAATCCTCTGGGTGGTCTCTCACCAAACCCATGATTATGTCCATGGATGCCACAGACTCCAGCGTGAACTCTAGCATAGACTTCTGTGGTCAGGGTGGTAGAGTCAAGTGGCACAAGACCAGCATTCCTAGACAGAAAAGATTATTCCCCTTGGTCACTCCCCTCAGAAATGGGGTTGTGGTAGGCAAGACAGGCACATAAGCATTTCAGAGATTACTCAGAGGAGAGGGTTTTACATTGTATTTAGTTTAGCATCCTTACATACATGCTATCTGATTTTATTTTGAAGACATTGTCTAAAAGATAAAAAAAAAAAAAGAACAAACATTTTCTCATTTTGCAAATAGCGAACACCCAGAAAAGTTAGTGTATTTGAATTTTTTCTATGAGAGGTCTAGCCAATACTTGCAACCCAAGTACATCAACCACACCCTTGCTTTTTCTACTTGAAATGAGAGTTCCATTATGGCAGACAAAGTGTCAATTATATGTAGGGTTTGACAAGGTATTTGCCCAGTGGACAAATGAATCGAATTAGACAAGACAATTTAATTACTGAGTAAGAAACTGCTTAAGTTACTAAAAGGCAGCACAAAAGTTGTTTTTCAGGTATGTTAGCTAAAAGTGTCCATTTTATTAAAACTATACTCTTGTGAGATTTTCTAATCCTTCAATAAATCTAGTGGTCTTAACTGCATTTCAGAAATTTATTAGACATCATGTTGTGTTTAGGAATGGTAGTTTATTCACCAGGGTATAAATGCAATTTATTTTATAGAACCTGAAGCCTTGATATGGTTCTATACTCCAGGATAAATCCCAACTACCTTAGTTGTTGCTTTCTTTTGATATTGCCTTTTAAAAAATCAAATCAATTTATTACAGTATCAAACCAATAGGCTATCAAGCTGTCACATGAAAAGCTATAAGACTCACTTAATAATAAGCTCTTTGGCACAAAAACAAATGCTTCCACTGCCTTCAGAGACTACTGATGCCAGGGTATGGAAATCAGAACAAGGCTCTTGCTTAGGCCTCCATTTGGCTTGAGAAGACTGATACATGTAAGACACAATGGATGTGCTACCATACATATTATGAGTGTTTGATTTTTGCAATTAAAAAATTGGGGAAATTCAAACTATACTCAACACATTTTTGAAAGAAAACCGTTTGCTTTATTGTGGGGTGGGAACTAGGGGTGTTGAATGTGATTATTATTCTTTAAACGTGAAAAAGTAGATTTTGGCACAACTGAAGAAAACTTTACTAAAGTCACATGTCATGATAAATATAGAGGTGAAGTTTCACCTCTGTGAAAAACCAGAAATTAGGCAAAAAATTCACTTTGATGTATATTAGCTATCAAAAGTAATAAAACACACACATACAAGTGCACACATGCAAAGATATATACAAATTTTGATTGAAAGTTGGTTAATTTTAAGCACTGTTAGTCCTAAAGTAGTAATATTTTGCACTATCCTAAATAGGATTTCAGCATATTTTTCACCCAGGACTGCAGTGATATAAACCCTATTGACTACTTAGCAATGACAGGAGGGGTCATTGGTAGTGTAGCAAAATCTTGTTCAATTCAGTTCTACATACAAGTTGCCATGTCTCATATCAGGATTTTGAATACATTCTAGAAATAAGCAGTATAATTCCACTTAGCGTACTTCCTTATTACAGGTTTTTCAAAAGTAAATGATAATTTTTATCATTTTTTAAGCCAACTTAAAAACTTACTCTAAATTCCACATGGGAGTAAAATCATATGGTATTTGTCTTTCTCTGACTGACTTATTTCACTTAGCATAATACCCTCTAGTTCCATCCATGTCATTGCAAATGGCAAGATTTCACAAAACAGATGAAATAGGGAAGGGAAGGAAAAATAAAATAAGACAAAAACAGAGAGGAAGGCAAATCATAAGAGATTCTTAACTCTAGGAAACAAACTGAGGGTTGCTGGAGGGAGGTGGGTAGGGCAATGGGGTAATTGGGTGATGGGCATTAAGGAGGGCACTTGAAGTAATGAGCACTGGATGTTGTACGCAACTGATGAATCACTAAACTGTACCTCTGAAGCTAATAATATAGTATATGTTAATTAAATTGAATTTAAATTAAAAAATTAAAAAAAATCTTATTCTAGCACACTCCTACCCAAACATACACAAATAAGTAACTATATTCTCCTCCTTTAGTTTAGATACTCACTGGCCATAAAATTCTGGAGACAGTAGAAAATCCCCCCTTTTTGGTGAAAACGGTAGTCAGAAGATATCTTTGATCCCAAACAATTGAAAAGTGTAGAAATTTCAATGTTTTGCCAAATTCCCAACACCTTCCTAAAATATCAGAAACACATAAAGATGAATGCTGTCATATTTTTCTCAGCTGCAATGCCATCCTGTTTTCCACAAATATAAATTCTTGTATTAATAAAAACGTTCTACTGAAACTTCTAAATTTTTCCACAACCTCATATTCTTGTAGGGAGTTGGGAGATGAAGTAAAGAGAGAGAGACAAAACCCCATATAAATGGAAGTTATTTAAGATATCACCAGGGTGCTCATCAAAATGTATGGAACCCAGATAAACACTGAGGATTAGATAAGAAAACCAACAAAATTTTAAAATTTCTATGCCTACCTTCAACCATTTAATATGTAATCACAAGTCAGTGGTTTTAGGATCCCTACCAGTGACCTTACAATTATATGCCTGATATTTAATTGAGGAAGAGTTCATTAAGAGGCTGTGGCAGAATTTTATTGCTCATATATGTAGAATAAGAGACAAAATAAAGATTTCCCAAAGAAAGTTCTTTTGGAAGCGTCTAGATCACTCATGAAAAGAGTGATTCATGGTGTTTGAATAGGCACAATATTTGGAATTTTGTTTCTCAAACATTTTTCAGGTCTGTTTTAAGACAGAAGCCCTCTAAATCTCGGAGGTTCCAAGGGAATCTCCTTACCAAACCACATGTTTTCTTGTGAATTTGTGAACTCTAAGGAAATGCAGATTTCATAGTATTAATTTTCTGCTCCTAGAGGCTGACCTCTAAAACTCAGAGCCTGTTTTATTCTCTTTGGACTGAACATACATGAAAGTTAGAAGAGAGGGCGCCTGGGTGGCTCAGTTAAGCATCTGCCTTCAGCTCAGGTCATGATCCCAGAGTCCTGGGATCAAGTCCCACGTCGGGCTCCCTGCTCAGTGGGGAGTCTGCCTCTCTCTCTGCCTCCTTGCTTGTGCTCTTTCTCTCTCACTCTCTCTCTCTCAAATAAATAAAACCTTAAAAAAAAAAAAAAAGAAAGGAGAGAGAATTTGTAGAAGCAAAGAAATGGCTAGCAGCAGGATTTATGTAGGCGGCCATGTGGACTGGAAATCACCTTCTAAAGTCAAATTCCAGATGAAGGAGTGGATTAAGATATCAAATATTTGGAGATACTAGTTAGAAAAGATTTAGTACCCAGAAAAATAAAAAGAAAAGTCCTCATAAAGAATTACTTTACTTGTTAATGTTTGCTTAGAAATCTTTGTGGTAATGGCATTATGGCAAAGCTTTAGGTCCATACAAACCTAGTGTTTAATTCCAGATGTGTTGCCCATTACCTATGAGATCTCAGATAAGCTACTTAAAGTTTTTGAGTGGCATGTCCTTGACTGAATAAATGGGATAAGTATGTGTACATTGCATGGTTATTTTGAGGGCTACGGGTATTGAATAGCAAATTTTAACGTAAAACCTGGAAAATATTAAGTTACAACTACTATGACTTCTCCTTTTTTATCCTTATCATCATCATCATCATCATCGGAGATGCACAATTCTGTTTAAAATCTAAAAGATGATATAGAGCTGAAGGCAGCCATGTCTGAAGTGTGTTTAACTACCTAAGCCAGAGATGCAATAATTTCAGGATTAATACTGTTTACATCCAGCTAAAAGATTCTAAGCCGGGACCAGGAGGAGGATATGTATTTATGGGCTTCTAGGTGGTAAGAGTCTTTGTGCACAAACCTTAATTAACAGAATCATCCTTCACACTAGTAACACTTTCACTGGGGTATTGGCCCATATCTTTTGGGGGAATACTTTTTCACCAATAAGCCCCGCAGCTACTCCTTAAACCACCAATAGCAAACACCATTATATAGCTCTACTTCAGTCACAGTTCTGCTTTTCATGACTTTGCCACCAGTCAAGATTCTTGACCACAGTACCATGCTTGGGAAGGTCTAACGTTTTCCATGGGACAGAAATTTTTCAGTCCTCAACTTCAAGGTCAGCTTTGTAAAGCCACATTTTTAGTGTCTTCATAAATCTTGTTATAATTCACTCATTCAGCCATATTTACCGTTCTGTGCTCAAGAATTCGTAAGGACGTAGTGTTTTGCATCCCTCCTGAGTGGTCTTCCTCCCCACGTTGCCTCCCTGCAAGAAGGGAGACTGGCAGTGCGTCAATGTGCAGGTGCCACTTAGCTGGTACCTCTGCCCCACCCCACTTTTTAACATCTGCCAGCGTAGACACAAGGTTGAAAAGAAAGGATTGGAAAGATCGACAGAAAAGGCACTGTGTATAATTCCAATTCCGATTGTTTTAAAGCCATTTGTTCCCTAAAGATTTATTTATTTGAGAGCAAGAGAGAGAGAGAGCATGAGTGGAGGAGGGGGCAGAGGGAGAGGGAGAAACAGACTCCCCGCTGAGCAGGGAGTCAGATGCCAGACTGGATCCCAGGACCCTGGGATCACGACCTGAGCCGAAAGCAGACGCTTAATGAATGAGCCACCCAGGCACCCTAAACCCATTTTTAAAGTGACAAAACTGGGGCATAGTAAGGGAAGAATTTGGTGATGGAAGAATCTAGTTTTCTAACTCTTTAGTGACATATAGTAAATATAGAGCCACAAGCTCACATGCCTTCAGGGTCCACCATGATTATTGGCCACAAGGTTTTCACATGGACACTGTAGCAAATTAGAGAGTGTATCCTGGAGAATAGGGGAACACCACTACTTATGTACAGCTATTAGGTGTCCTGAGATGTGGGAACATGGGCTACATATGACCACATCTTCTGATTTTCAAGAAAAGCCAAAACACAGATTGGTGTGTGTGTGTGTATGTGTGTATGTGAGCACACATGGCACGTGTGTGTGTGTGTGTGTGTGTGTGTGATATGTGAACATTAGCAACTATTTTTTAAGGTGGTACTCACCAAAACCTGGCCTCATGGACCTCAGAAGATTAGGGTGCTGCCTCTAGATCCATATACTTTTCTTCATGTGGCATTTAAACTGCAGCCCTCTTGTTTTATTCCGTAGCCTTTCCCTCACACTCTTTCTCCCTCAGTGTCTTCATCTGTGAAATAGGGATAAGAGCATTTGTTTTTCTGCCTCCAAAAGATCAAGGATCATGGCGCATGTGAAGATTAATGAGGTCATTTGGTTAAGTGTTTCTTGCTGGGTGGAAGAACGATGGCTTATGAATACTAATAGCACTTGAATCATGTGAGCTTTCATGGAAAGAGAGTTGGACCATTTAGCTCCCCGTCTGCAGGGAGTTATAAAGAGGGAACCAGGGAGGGAGAAGCTGAAATTATTTCTTCACGACTGTCTCCTGTGGTGAACTGTGAAGGGGCATTGGGAATGCTGAGAGATTGTCTGCCTGATACTATAGACTCTGTATGCAATGCAATCTGGAAGAGAGCAAGACCCTCACTATGTGAGTTTGTGAAATTTTACCTGTTGGAGAAGGGTGAGCAGGTGTGGATCGGAAATAACATTTTAACTATCTACCTAAGGACCTGGCTCACAACCCATTTTTATGTTCTAATCAAACTGTCTTTTTACCACTGGCCTCTCACCCTCCCTAGTATGTTAGTTAGGGTAGGCTAACTATTGAAACGTACCTGACATATTATTATCTTAACCCAATAACAGTGCATTTCTTTCTCAGATACTCTTGGTTTGTGAGTGACATTTCATATAATGATTCAGAAAACCATGCCTCTTCCATGCTATGGCTCCGTCATGCTCTGGGCCTCCCCATTAGCTGGCAAATGGGCTAAGAATGCAGTGAATTACATATGGAAGATCACTACGAGCCAAGTGTGGAAGTAAGACACGCCATTTTGGCTCCCATTCCCTTGGCTAGAACTCAGTCACACTGCCACACAAGACAGGCTGGGAAGTGGAGTCAAGTTTGCCCCAGGAAGAGAAAATCATTTTGATCAGCCAGTAGTCACTGCCAAGCCTGACATGTTTCATACATTTGTCCTTACATTTTATCATCTGTTAGATACATGGTTGATTTCTTTAACATAAGACACTGATGATAGACTTTGCTATTCCCTTTACTCTGTTGCATCTCTGTAGGCAGCATGCTAGTTTCTTGGTTTTCTCGTAAACATTTTGTACAATATTTTGAAGGCTTAGTTTTGTTTTCTTTTAACCTTTCTGTTCCTTCCATATACTAAATACATCATTCTCCATGTTACTGCTTTGAAGGGAGATTTCTTCTCCACTGACTGTTGAGAGTGTTTAAGTTTGAATACCTTTGTTGTCTGTAAGAATTGACAGTAACTAATGTAGCCTGTTATTGTCTATGATTTCCTTAGCTATGGCTCCTGGTGGAAATTTTTGATTCCTGGGTACAAATCCAAAAATATGTTTATTTTTAGTTTTTGATTCTGAAACTGTTATGGGGGCAGCGTTTCCTTTGGAGTGATGTGTAATGTAAAAATAAAATGATTAAGTATTGTGAAATTATACAGTGACTTTGATTAGTGTAGGCAGTCAATACTAATCAATGCACACAAAACAATACAAACGATCTTCATCTTTTAGCACAACATTTTATTAGGTGTGACTGTTAATGGTTGATAAATGATAATGGAAAAGATTCATACATATCCACCCAAGCTTGTGCTTGTCATGAGAATTGGCAATCTATGAAGAACATAGGCTTATTTAATCTTTGACAGAATCTCTGTTCAAAAATCCATGAAAATGGGCGGCACCTGGGTGGCTCAGTCGTTAAGCATCTGCCTTTGGCTTAGGTCATGATCCCAGGATCCTGGGATCGAGCCCCACATCGAGCCCCACATCGGGCTCCCTGTTCAGCGGGAAGCCTGCTTCTCCCTCTCCCACTCTCCTTGCTTGCATTCCTTCTCTCACTGTGTCTCTCTCTGTCAAATAAATAAAATCTTTAAAAAAAAAATCCATGGAAATGGAAGCTTTAAGATACTAAAATGTAAATAAGTGACAAAAAATACCCTATAATAATTATCTATCTCTATACAGTGGAGTATAATGGCTAAGAGCTCTATAGCCAGACTTCCCAGACTTGAATCTGAAACACACTAACTCTTGTCTGTGATTCTCGGCAAGTTAATTCTGAAACTCCATTTCCTCTTCTGTAAAAAGAAGACAATAACAGAAATAGAGCTAATTATGTCATGAGGATCAATCAGATGATGATTGTCAAGAGTTTATGACAATTCATAGCAAGTCAAAAGCATTTGATAAGCCACAGAGAAGACAAGCATCTTCTTACAAAGAAAAATGGTTTAAAACAATGCTTAAATGCTGTGGGCATAGCAGTCTCCTGAATATCTGTTAGTATGGAGATTCTGGTACTGTAGGTCCATCATGGAGCCTGATATTCTGCATTTCTTAAAGTTTCTGGATTATATTGGTGTTGCTGGTCCATGGAACACACTTTGAATATAAAGGAGCTAAACTTTATAGTTATATCCCTATGTTAGTCTTGGGTTATCAGTTGTTTATTGAATGTGGTGATTTGATTCATGGCAGATGATGGGAAAGAATTCTTCATGATACAAAATATCTGAAAAGCTTCCATAAGTGATTATGATCCAAGACATGATGTTGAACCAGATGTCTAAGGAACAAAAGAAATAATCCAAAATTTCATTCGTGTTGTATTTTGTGTGCTGTGCTTTGTGTCTGAGGCCAGTGTGCCCGAACTTTCAAATCTGGGTCATCTGTTCATTGAGCTCTTAGTCACAACACTCTACTGCCTTTGGATAGAAAACTATTACAGAATATTTCTTGTCCTGTGTTTACATTTTAATATCTTGAAGCTTTGTATTTTCATAAATTATTAAACAGAAGCTTTGTCAAAGGTTAATTAAGTCTATGAATTGCTATGGCCCAGGAATGTGGTCTTAAGGGCCAATGACATAAGGTTGATATGCTTCAATATTAATGAGACTTTTTGATATTCTGATTTATTTGCTGTTTGTTTTTAACATGATCTCTTTGAGCTGCTATCTGCCATGATTGTTCTGTCCTTATTTCTTTACTATGCTGAAGAAAAAAGTAGAAATTTAAATGGAAGGCAATAATTGGTTCTTAAGTTGTCTAGCCTTTTTTGGCTTATGTTCCGGTAAAGCTTGTTGCATCTCTTTTTCAAAGCAGTGTCTTGGGATTCCTGCTAGGTTACTTAATTTAGGTCACTATTGTTTCCATTAATAACATCTATATTTTCCCCTTACATACATTTCCTGCTTAATGTATGTCATGGTAAGAATTCTATATTATTCGGATTTTGAATCCTTTAATTTTTGTTGATCATCTTCTAAATATTGCTTTGTTTTCCTCCTCCTTTAGAGTAAACCTATCTTTATTTTAATGGAGTTTTATGGCTGAGTTAAGATTTTGGGTACTGTTGTCAATGGCCTGGGGCTGGGTTTTGAAGATGCAGGGTTGGATTCCCACTTTTCCCTTTGTTGTCCTTGCATCTGTCCTTCTGCTAAATGTCCATAAGGAATGGTACAATGCTTATAACTTAGAGAGGTGGTTGAGGAAGCTCCCATAGTTTAGAACCCTTGGCACCCACCTTACCAAAATTGCAGCCCCTACTTCTTATCACAATGTGATAAGAAGGCTACTGTGTACCCTCAATGCACATATTTTCAGACTGGAGAAAAAAAGGTATGTAATAAGTGTGATTATAATTAGTCATATATTTATAAATATTATATATATACATATATATATCTGAAAATTTATGAAGTCATGACACTTTCAGGATTGAAAGCATTGAAGGAACCTATTTACACACTTTGACATCTCCTAGTGTTTTCAATGAAAGTGCTAATTTATATTACCTATTTCTAAGCCCTGGAAAGAAGGGAATGTGAAAATTAAATGACAATAAATAAATGTTTTATTTTTTCTAGAAAAATAGTCAATGCCGTATATGTATTAACCAACCCATTTCAAATGTATACCGTAGAGGATACCCAGATTTTTGTGGTAAAAAACTGACAGTTAAAAACAAGTAGGCATTCCTAAATTGCCCGAAGTTAATGACAGAGCCAAGTTGTCAATGCAAACTGCAAACACACAAAATGCCACCACTACGGGGAAATGGGGATCAGAAGTGGATGCTTCGTGCCCTAAAGTTTTCTGAGCATACTAATTATTTGTTGGCTGTGCCCATCTCGAAATAATTGTTATCTTTGAATTCTACCCATGTGATTCATCTCCCTTCTATTTAACTGCCCCTCCAGAGATTTTCTCTACATGGGAACCTAGGAATAAAAGATACAGAAATAAGAGGGAGGTGATCCACTGATGGGTTGTTCATAGAAAGCTTGTACTGCTAGGGCACCATCTTTAAATTTTATTTGTTAATATAAATGATATAAAACATCTGGTCCTTCCGAGAATCTCTTTAGTTGTGAACATAAATCTGAGCTAGTTTTAATGAGTGTCTGGGGTTTATATTAGTGTAAGTTTGTTATCTACCAAGATGGAAGACAGTGAAGTCCTTGGAGGCAGAGGTTCCTGCCTGATGGGTAGTTCTTTGGAGACAAAAGCTGTGCCTCATTTTCTGTAACAGCCCGGGTCATACAATGCCTCTCATAGAGTAGGAACTCAAAAAATGTGTATTGAATTAATGTTGTGTCTCCACCCTTTCCCCCTGTGACTTACAATGTAATAAACAAAAAAAGACTTAGTGTTTTAAATCACCCCCATGAACATTTCATGAGAGAGATATTTAATTCCTATCATATCCTATGAAATGAACAAATGACCAGTAACTCCTAAAAATTCCTTAGTAGCAATGTTAACATATCTAACAATGTAATTAAGTTTTTGTGAGGTTTTTTGTTTTTGTTTTTGTTTGTTTGTTTTTTACATAATGATGACTTCTACTCTGGATTATCAGTAATGCCATTTTGGGTCATATGAAGACAGAACAATTTTCTATAGTTTTTATTATTAAAGTGGCCATGAAGCCATATTTGTGGTCTTTAGTGAAGTATTTTTCTGATTTTCCTAATAATTTGATGACTTCCTGCCAAAAGGGACAAAAAGTTCTTTTAGGGAGTCTGGAATAGTACAATAGCATTGAGGAGTCAGTTAGTCATCAGAGGCAAGAGGCAGTTTCTGGAAATAAAAGGAGATCTATACTATAACAACTCAAGTGAATGGTCTGACCACACCAGGCATCGGTGGGAAGCTCCTCAAAATCTATCATGATCAGTGATATCCATAGGTTATTTCTTTTTTTAAAAAATATATCAGATAAAAAGATTAATAAGTTTTGGTTAGCTCATATGTTCCTTGAGAGCAAGTCTTTGTTGGTTTCCCAACAAGTGTGAGTATTGGTGTTCCCAGTGCGAGTTCTCCAGTAGCTGGAGGAGCAGGAACTCAATAAATATTTTAGATGAATGAATAGATTAATTACTCAACTGGATAATGTCTGTGATTCAGGTTCCTAATTTTGATAAAATTTTTAAAATAAAATCTGTTAAAAGTTTTCTACTAAATACTACAATTGGGTTGATGTGTAAGTGAGAATGAACACCTTGAAAATGGTGAAATTTTCTAGTACTCACTTAGACAATGAGTTTCACTACGTTTAAGACAGGAAGAGAATAATGTCTCTAGTTTGCATCCAGAAATGTGATATTTAAGGGAATTGGATGCCAAGTACATCTGTTCATCAAGGTTACTCTTAGCCTGTATATATTTATATGACTTGTCATTGTTCTCCAAAGTTGAGACAATGGTTCTTTTTAAATATGTTAGATCAACCCAGTGGAATAGGGATGATAAAGCATTATTCAGGGAAATAGGACGGAGTCAAGAAAATCTCACTTAACCAAACATCAACTTGATAATAGGTTTAAATAAAAAGAAAATAGTTTGTTTCTTTGGAGCCTTAGATGTTAGAAGATACTTAAATTCTTTGAATATTAACTCTGTTAATGGAAGCCCAGTTGTATATATGGATTGAAGCATAGTTTAGCACACTTCTAGATTAATGGGTTTATTTCTGAACACCAAATAGAAAAGAGCTCATAGAGGCCACATTTACAATCATTGTGGATTTCTGCACAATGCAAGAACCCTTATTCTGCATGTGGAAGGCTGGGTGGATCGAACCTTTTCTTTGCTATTTTTATTGGGATCTTATTAACACGAGACCACTGAAGAACAAATAAATTTTACATAGCCTCAGAGGAAAATACAACCCATTATATATCAGTGACTCATCATAATTGAATTGTCATTTTTTTCTTGTAAGACATTATTATATTTTGAAAGTAAAATAGTTTACATATTTCAACCTTAGGTAGATTTAATGATTCTAACATTTTACACCAAAGAAATATTTCAATAATTTAGGATTCTTTTTCCTTCTCTCCTTCCCAATTCCTGTCTCTCCCAGCTTAAAATAGTCAGTTTGTCAGGAATGATATCATGAACATAAACATTCTGATAATAGCCTCTTCTGTGCAAACAAAACTGATGGTAGGATAAACAGTTGCTCTAAATAAGTAAGCACTAAGTTCTCTGTTTCTCTTTGAGGTTTTATAACTTACTCAGAACCCATTTCATTTTGAGGACAACTTGTTGGTCACCGGTTAAAAACAGTTTGATCTTTTTCATTTCAAACGTTTTATATGCTCCAAAAAGAAAAAAATTGTTATTATTATTTTTAAAGATTTTATTTATTTATTTGACAGAGACACAGCCTGAGAGGGAACACAAGCAGGGGGAGTGGAAGAGGGAGAAGCAGGCTTCCCATGGAGTAGGGAGCCAGCCCAATGCGGGGCTCGATCTCATGACCCTGGGATCATGACCCAAGCCAAAGGCAGACGCTTAACAACTGAGCCACCCAGGCACCCCAAGGAAAAAAAAAAATATTAGTTATTCACTCCTATCTGGTACTGTGGTCGGGATTCTATATGAAAGTTTCCAACTGTGTGGTACAGCTAAAGTTTCTAATCTTAATTAAATACCAGTGCCATTATCTGAAAGTACCAGTTCATATCTAATGTTTAATAAGATTCCCTTCAATGGCTCCACATCTCACTCAGAGTAAAAGCCAGACTTTAAACTAATTGACAAGACCTTAGGATATTTATTGCTGGCCTCTAGCTCACACTCTCCTCATCTCTCCTACCCTTTTCCCTTACTTACTCTGTTACATTCATTCTGGGTTCTCTGCTGTTTGGGGAGCTCCAGAGGCATATTCGGGTATCAGAGCCTGTGCACATGGCATTTCCTCTTCCTGGATTGGTATTCTCCCAAATTTTTGCTTCCTTATCTCTTTAAAGTGTTTGTTCAAATGTCACCTTCTCGAAAGGAATTTCCTGAATACCCCATTGAAAATTATATCACCCTTATCTCAGTACTTCCTGTCCTCATCTCCACATTATTTTTCCTCATACTGCTTACAATATATTAAGTAATTCACTTTTTTGATTGTTTATTTCTACCCACTAGAGTGAAACTTCACTGAGGGAAGGGATCTTTGGGATTGTCACGGCTATATGCCCAGGGCACAGAACCATCCCTGGGACCTAGGGGGTGTTCAGCATTCGTTTACTGAATGAATACATGCATATTTATTGCATTTTATATTTTCACAAGTCTCTTGAACATTTTCACTATGTCACTAGAAATGTGTGTCTTGGGGTTCTAGAATCTTGCGTGGCAAATAGGTGGAGTAGAGAAAAAGGTGACTCTTTTTTATACTTGCATGGAAAGGAATGTCACACAATTGAGTGTGATTATGTAAAGCCAGTATTATCTTTTAATCATACCTTCTATTAGTTGAATATTAATATAATTGAACATATGTCATTTGCCTCACCAGCATTCATTTCATAACTTTTTTTTAATTAATAGCTATATAAACCTGCCAAGAGAACATATTTTTTTTTCAAATTGGTTACTTTGTATAGAAATAGTTTTAAACTGTATTTAGTGTTATTGTACAAGTAGGAATTAGACCATCATAAATATTAATTATTAGCCCTCAAAACATTCTTTTGCTTTGCAGTTCAATCATTTACTTAAGCCCTACTGATCTGTTCAATTTAATAATCTACTAAGATCAGGGATTATCCCACTGGCACTGAACAGGGCAAATAAGAATGAAAAAAGTTTTACTGCCCTATCTTTGTACTCAGCCAGTTGTTGAAATTATCTGGATGTGTAAATTAATATTTAACCAAATCTTTTTTCTGCCTCAAAAAACCTGGGGAATAATGTGCTTGTTCCCTCACTCCCGAAGAAATTGGTGGAAAACATTGGTGATGAGTGAATGAGGTCTGGCTTTTGGTATGTGATGGAATATACTTTTAAAAAATAGAGCTCTCTACCTATTATCAGGTTGACACTGACATAGGTTGGGAAATACCTATTTTTCTTTGGTAAGAATCCATCATTTGTCATATTTAACTCTCAGAGATTTTATAATCTATCCTATAGGTTCTGAACATGTGGTCCCTAGCCCAACAACATCAGTATTACTTGTGAACTTGTTTGAAATGTAAATTCAGACTTCTGAATCAGAAACTCTGAGAGTGGGGCCCAATCACTCAAGATAATTTTTTTTTTAACAAGGCTTCGAGGCGATTTGATGCAAATAGTTGAGAAATGATGATTGATGCTATTCTAGTAAATATGCATAGAGCCGATATTTTATATGATACGTTATGTGTTATGGTGTAAGGCAAAGATGTGAAATACACACTTTCTGTCATAGAAGAAATTATGCTGAAAATACTAACTGGCAAGACTCTGAAGAAAACTCTTCTGCAGCAACACTCTAGTAGCATACATTACCATTATCGATGCATATCTGCAGCTTTAACATGGTCTTTCTCTGGTCTTTGGTTTTGCTTTTATCTGCAGAATTCTGGTCGCCCGGCTAGCTCAGTCGGTAGAGCATGAGACACTTATCTGCAGAATTCTGTACACTTCTATTTGTCCATTTAAATTTGTAGGATAAAAGGTAAAAATGTACACATTAAACATAAAACCTTCAGCAATCCACTAAGGATAGCAAATCATATTCGTGAAAAACTGTAACACAAAACAAAAGAAGTGTTCTTTTTAAGTCACGTATATATAAATTTCAACTCAGGAAATAGGACAAAGAGTAACCTACCAGAATCAGGGTAGCAGATGCCCCACAAGACACCTCCTTTATCATTTCTGAGCTACGCAATTAGCCACCTATTCAGTGTCCCTGATGTCATTCTCATTATAAACCATAGTGTTTGATATCATATCAATCAGCATTCAGACAGAAGAAGAAAACTATTCTAGGTATTTCAGACTAAGAATCTTTAAAACAAGAATTCTTTGCCAAAAAATTAGTTTAAAAAAAAAAGCAGAAAAACTGAGGACTGCAGGAAGAAAGAGAGGAGGTAAAGTAACTCAGAGATCAGGAATAGCAACAAACTGCTATTACCCCTCAGGCTGGCCTAACAGAACCGAGGACGGGGTGTTAGCAGGTAACACTTACCTGTAGCTCTGCTGCGAGACTCTGCTGCTGTTGAAACTGCCCAGCAGTCCCCCTGTGAGAGCAGCCAGATGTACCTGCTGGCCCAGGCTGGCCCTGCCATTTCAGGCAATAGTGCCGGGGCTAGCCACTGCCTGGGAGCTGCTGAAGGTCATTGGAAACTACAGCTGGCCACTGATGCTGGTGACCCCTACAGAGGCCACAAGAAAGAAAGCACTTTCCTTCTTCCTATCTTCCAGCCTCCCACTAGTTCTTGGCATTGGCAGACCCAACCGGAAGTCAGCTGGGAAATCCAGGAAATGTAGTTTTCAGGGTCTCAGCACCTGGGATACAGATGAATACACAATGAAGCTGAAAGAAAGGGAGCAGGCAAATGACCTGCACAGGCATGGGGACACATCGTAAAACAATCAGTTAGAAGGCAGAATGTCAGAGCCTAAGTGATCCTTGGCATTCCACCTGCGATTTTTTTTCAAATATTCTTCAGTTATGGAACTGAAGTTTGGAAAGAAAATAAGTTCATTATAAAACGGAGGCAATGTGGTAGCAGGAGGTGGTGTTGGGGCATTAAATCCCTAGCTGTTTGGAGTACTACTGGGGTACTGCTGTGCCCCATCTGCTTCCCCTCTGCCAGGTTAGTCACTCAACCCTAGTTGCTGGAGTGTTGGTTGCTACTGGCCTACAACTGCCCTGTTCTCCTGAGAATTTCCTTAGGCTGAAAGGAGTTGTCTCACACATTCTGGGGGAGCCTGCTTCGGTGATCACTTGATATGGAAGTATGAAAGGCCATCTCCCTTGTCTCAAACCTACGGTGGGGAATATGCTGCAGAGCCCTCCATGGAAGAGACCAAGGCTGGACTTCACCTGAGACCACACCTTTGCTCAGTGCCTCATGATTCTCTCCCATGCTTCCCTTTCCTTGACTCGCCCCTCCGTAAGCCATATGCACTTGGATCTCTCTCTCTCTTAGGCCCTGCTCCTGGTGACACCAACCCAAGACACCACCCATATCCTTTTTTTTGTCTTGAGCCTCACATGAGTTGCCTCATTGTACTGTGGACAAAATTGGGTCGCACAAAGCCATCTATCTAAGTGCCTTGTCCAAGGTCATGTTGCTTGTTGGGAATAAACCTAGTGTTCTCACCTAGAGTCACTATAGTGACTGACCCTAGTAGTCAGTGTTGCTAAGCTCAGCAAAATAAAAGAAATTCAGGACCACTTACAATTTCCCTTGGGACCTACTAAAATGGGAGTCCAAAGCAGGCAGTAGATAAAAATTAACAGTTTGAGAACAGAGATCTCATTGGAGTATTAGATTAATGACTCCCAGACCATTATGAGGGCTCCGTGGGTGATTCGTTAAGCTTTTGGCATGATTCTAGATTCTTCCCTCATTCCACTTTCTTCCTCCTTTTTAATTTCCTTCCCACACCCAGCACTAGTGTCTTTGTTTTTATTTTTGGAACCACCCATCCAAAGAAGAAGGACTAGCTTCTTATTGGAGCTGACTGAACGCATCAGTATCCATACAGCACTGTTGAACTTTGACTCCACTGGCAAGTACCCTTTCATAGAATCATGCCTAGCTGCCTTTCTGAAGACATTCTGCCTTGGTGTTCTTTGCCAAGCTTCAAATTACAGTGTTTTATATAAAGCTGCCATTTGGCAGGGTATTTTTCTTTTTTTTTTTTTTAAAGATTTTATTTATTTATTTGAGACAGAGAGAATGAGAGAGAGAGAGCACAGGAGAGGGGGGAGGGTCAGAGGGAGAAGCAGACTCCCCGCCGAGCAGGGAGCCCGATGCGGGACTCGATCCCGGGACTCCAGGACCGTGACCTGAGCCGAAGGCAGTCGCTTAACCAACTGAGCCACCCAGGCGCCCTGGCAGGGTATTTTTCTTTTGTTTTGCCAGTTTCTGATCTTTTTAACACAGAGTGACCATGAAGTCCCACTTTGTAATTGTTGATTGGTCTCTGGTGATGATCGAAAACTTTCATACATAGCAGATAATATTTAATATATTGCCAACTGCACAAGAGGCAGAAAGGGACCTTATTGTGGGTTGAATTGTGTACCCTCAAAATTCATTTGTTGAAATCTAAGTTCCCCAGTACCCCAGATTGTGACCATATTTGGGAATAGGGTTGTATCAGATGTAATTAGGTTAAGGTGATGTCATACTGGAATAGGATAGACCCCCTAATCCAGTATGACTGATGTCTTTATAGAAAGAGGAGATTTGGAGACAGACACACATATAGGGAAAACACCATGTGAAAATAAAGGCAGAAGTTTTCTTTTTCCTCTTCTGGGGACATTGTCTAGTGGCATTCAGAATGGTCCAGCATTTGACATATGGCCATAGGCTGTCCTACAATAGGCTGTCCTCTAACAAAGCCAGGTTGTCGGAAACCCCTGGTGATAGAATTGTTTACCTTTAGACCAGAAAGGTTGGAGAAGCAGCAAAATCCACATGTGGCATGTGCCCAGGAGTTTGTGCCATGAGACCTAAAATTCCTCTGAGGTTGTCTAAAATGACAAAAACCTGGGGCGCCTGGCTGGCTCAGTCAGTTGAATGCCCGACTGTTGGTTTTGGCTCAGGTTGTGATCTCAGGGTCCTGGGATCAAGCCCTGTATCAGGCTCCACATTGGCATGGAGTCGGCTTGAGATCCTCTCTCCCTTTCCCTCTGTCCCTCCAGCTTGTGCTCTCGCTCTCGCTCTCGCACTCTCTCTAAAATAAATAAATAAATCTTTAAAATATAAAAATAAAATGAAAAAAGCTCTGTCAACAGGGCCTTTGGTGGTTCCATGTGTGCTAAGTGTGTCTGTGACAGGATCAAGCATGCTTTCCACATCAAGGAGCATTAAATTGTTGTGAAAACGTTGATGGCACAAGCAGAGAGTCAGAGAGCTAAATTTAAAAACTGAAGCTTTCTCAAGTAGGAAAAAAAAATCAAAAGGCTAAAAAAAAAAAAAGAGAGAGGCAGAGATTGGGGTGATACTTCTGCACCCCAAGGCATGCCAAGATTGCCCACAAACCTCTAGAACTAGGGCAGAGTCGGGGAACAGATTCCCACTCACTGCCCCCAGAAAGAACCAACCCTGCTGACACCTTGACCTTGTACTTCTGGCCTCCATAACCGAGAGATGATAAATTTCTATTAAGTCACACAGTGTGTGGTACTTCATTGTGAAAGCCCTAAAATTCAGGCCTGAAGTCATGTCTCCTCCTGCCTCTATTATAAATGGAACTCCTTTTATTGAGTACTATTTAGTGAAATCCTACTCCAGGATGCTGTTTTTCAGTAGAACATCTCAATTTTTACATGAATGTCTTCATGCTTATGTATCCTATTTTTAAATGCCTACTTTGTTTTATTTATTTTGTATTATTATGTATTTTGCTGTTGTATTCATTGTTATTCTTGCTTGTTCTGGTTATTTGAGAGAGGTTTAGTCTTTTTTTTTTGGCTCTTCCACAGGTTACTTTTAAAAATTAAATAATATAGATCCATCTATAATTTAGACAGTTATTAAAAATAAAGAAAACAGCAAACTTACTTTTCCTCCCATTACCTCTCTTCTCCAGGTTCCAAATTCAATTATTTATATTATTGTTTTTACATCCAACTTCATAATATTTACCTTTTGTTATAAAGTCATTATAATCAAAAGTATTCAGTTTTAGTTCTGCATTCAAATGGAATCAGTATTCATTTTCGATCATTTTATGTAATGGCTATACAGTTCTTGAATTCTCATTTTTATTTATATCACAGTTTTCTGTATTTCATAAACTAGTAGTTTATAGAGAAACCATCATGAGTGTTATGGTCCAATGTGTGCATATTTCAGAATCTCTATCTTTTTTTCACATTATACATGATTGATAACTATACTGGGTATAAAATTTGTGAGTCATTTCCCCCTCTTCAAGCCTCATTGCCCTGCAGTTTTTTGGTTTTTTGTTTTGTTTTGTTTTTGCTTGCTTTGTTTTTGTTTTGTTTTGTTTTCTGGTGTTAGTGTTGCTGAAGTAATACTGATTTTCTACCCGATGGCTAAATTTCTTTTTCAGGATGGATGTCTCAAAACTTCTTTTCTTATCCCTGAAATCCAATTGCTATCATTTGTTTTGTATCAATTTTTTACTAAAATGTGGTATTCCATTTTGATTTATGTTTATGGAAGTTATTATTATTATTATTATTATTATTATTATTTTAGAAATGTTCGATTACACCTTTGAGTATCTTTGTTTGGTGTGATTTTCCTAAAGCCTGTCCACCATATCTGTGACTTGTTTTCAGGAGTATGTATTCTACTTCTCATTCCAGATTTCACTGTATTTGGCAGATATGCATCAACATCTGTTGTCTGGAGTTATAGTGTTTTCCCAGTTTTTTTTTTATAGATACCCTTAGCTTCCCATTTTTCTAAAATTCTTTATTTAATTGCGTTTTCCAGAAAACGTGCACTTTTTCCACATGCAATCTGGGGCAGTTTTCTTGAAAACTATCTATAAGAACGGAGGATAATCTAAGGAGTTGATATACTTTGGGGGTTAGTGAAATGTAATAGGAAAAGCCTCAGAGTGGGGCTTGGGCCAGACTTGAACTACTGCTCTGTCTCACCACATCTGTTTTGCTGTTGTTTGCTGGAACATCTTTGCCATAGACATCTTTGCCTCAAGAGTTTTGGCTGCATAACTAACTGGCTGTAAGGCAATTCTGTCATCAAAGATAAAATAATAAAAAATAAGAGAGGGATATTAAAAAAGACATAATGAAATGTTAAAAAACATTAATGAAATTGCCATAAGGTAATTTTGCCATCAAAGATAAAATAATGAAAAATAAAAGAAGGACATTAAAAAGGACATAATGAAACATAAAAGAAAATAATAATAAAATTAATTATTAATCCCTTCCTTCATTGAGAGAGATATCAGTTTTCCAAATACTGGGAGGAGTCTTGGTAACTGAGCTTTGTATTGCATTAGGAAAGCCTTCCACACTGTTCTTGGCATATCGTCCTATTTCATTGATGGATGTCACAAAGATCTATGGATACAGTGGGCGAAATGCTAATTCTGTAACGCCTTTGTAACTGAGCTTTGTATCCTTGTAACATTTGGTCTCATGGTAATGTAATTGTGTCACTGTCATTCATTATCTAATACAGCATAGTATGCAATCTGGCTTTGCACTCTCTTATTTCACGCTTCCAGTAAGTTTTATCACAATATTTTCTGTCAAGTTGATATACATAGTTGTTATCACCTACTATTTTAAGATCACCACACATGATTGTCACTGTATAGACCATCATGAAAGCTAGCTAAGATTTATATAATATAAAAATGGGAATTTTTTTCAATGGAAAAATAAAACCAGACTGACAGCTAGTAGCTTCAATACCTTCACTCTTCCAAGGGTAGTTGATTTGTCAATGAAGAAATGAAATACAACTACCAACCAGTTATTTTATCATTTACAGCAAAATTATCTTTTGGCCAAATAGTTATGTGACAAAAATATCTGTGGTGAAAATGTTTGCTGTAAAGGTGTGTATGGCAAAGGTGTTTATGGCAAAGCTACCTGGAAGCCAGTCACACACCAGCTCTGTGACCCCAGTTAGAATACGAAAACTCTGAATCTCAATTTCTTTACAAAGTTCTTGCAGGAATTAAGTAAATAACCTACCCAAAGTTATGAGTAAGTTACATGCGAACCATAAATAGAAATGCTAGCTACTATCACCTTATTTATTTAAAAGCATCTATAGGGGGCGCCTGGGTGGCTCAGTTGGTTAAGCGACTGCCTTCGGCTCAGGTCATGATCCTAGAGTCCCGGGATGGAGTCCTGCATCGGGCTCCCTGCTCGGCAGGGAGTCTGCTTCTCCCTCTGGCCTTCCTCCCTCTCATGCTCTCTGTCTCTCATTCTCTTTCTCTCAAATAAATAAATAAAATCTTTAAAAAAAATAAATAAAATAAAAGCATCTATAGGGCTAAGATTAGTCTATGCAGGACCCTGGCAACAATCCTTCCCCTATGCTCAGTTCTGGTCAGGCTGGTATTAAGGGTTTTTGTTTTTGTTTTTGTTTTTTTTCCCATTTTTCAACCCCTGTCAACACATGATTCATTGCAACTTTGGTTATTAGAAAATATCCTATTGGATTGGGGATGGTGGGAGAGAGGTAAAGACAGGAGGTTTAAAAAAAATATTTCACATAGGGACTTGGCTTTCAAGTACTTACATGAACTCAATTTTGAGAGAATTTAAAGGAGATTTATAATATCATTAGGGGTTAGGAAGCAGACCTATACCAAACACTAAGGACACCGATAGGATTTTCCTTGGAGAAGAAAAGTCAGAGGGGAGATTTAGTACTCTACTACTTGTGATACAGATGAGATTAATAACCAGCTGAGATTCTTTGTCTCCAGTGATTATAGCACAAATGAAAACTGACTTGAGTTGCCAGTAGAAATCTCCAGATGGCGAAAGCAGGGTTGGGCTTCCTTGTAGGAAGGGGCCACCCACTTGTGATACCAGGGGACTCGGAAAGCCTACTTGTTCCCCTACTCTGTAAGTGCTTCCCATTATCTCAGGGATTGATGCCATAATTTCCATGATTAAAATGTTATTGCTTTGATGAGGAAACAAAATATTCTGCCCCCCATGAGGTAATACCACAATGAAAAGAGAATGAGTTAGCTGATAATTTCCTTTAAAAAGTTTGATTGACACTGGGGAGAGGGCTATAGGTTATGGGGCTCCTCAAGGGGGAAGAAGTTTATATTACCTCAATAGGAAAAGAGTACAGCATGTGGAGTCTGGGGGCCTATCTCTTAATTTTACTGAGATCCACCTCTCAGTAGGAACTATAAACCACTGACTGATTATTGCTTCATCTGATGAAGTCACATTTCTGGATATCTTTAAAAGCTGGACAGATGATTTATGGTTATCTTCTGTTATTTCCTGAACCTTACAACAACGTTTTAGTTGTGCTTGCTTGTATCTGAAAGGTTGGACAAGCATTGTTCCAAATGGTCCTATGATCACATACAGCATCAACATCACCTGAAAGCTTGTCAGAAATGCAAATTTGGAAGGAGGCTGGGAATATAGCCAGAGTAGGAGGACCCTAAGCTCACCTCATCCCACGGATACTAGATAACACCCCCATCAGTGTAAATAATTCAAAAAGTGACCCAAAGACTGGCAGACAAACTCCATAACTGAAGATCGAGAAGAGACCACAGTGAAAAGGGTAGAAAGGGTGGAGATGCTGTGGGGAACTAAACAGACCTTGGGCAGTCCACGGGAGGGAGGGAGCAGAGAAGGGCAAGAAACAGACTATCACACCAGGCAGTAGGCTCAGGGTAGACAGATCCCCACAACATTTCACTTTGAAAACTAGAGGGGCCAAATTCTGTGAATTCTTTCAACCAGTGGGACTTAAAGCCTGGAATTTTAAACACCAGTGGGCTTGGTTCTGGGAGAGCCTGGAGGGCGAGAGGAAGCTGAGTCCTCACCCTTAAAGAGACAGTACAACAAACAGCCCATGGAGATAAAGTACAGAAGCAGCGGTTTGAAAAACTCCTGAAGTAACTGAGAAGGAGAGTAGTTTATTCATCTCAGAGCTTGTCCCAGAGGGACAGATTTCATTGGAGGATTCCTCCCAGAACAAAGGAGCTGGCAGGCTCCATTTCCCTCCCCACCCCCCAGCATAAACACACTGACACTGACCAGAACCCGCACAGCACCAACATTACCTGTCTGACTTGCTTACACCAAGCCCTGTGCTCCCCCCACCATGCTTTGGTGGATCCACCCAGTCATGGAAGATCTATCTATGCGCTTGCCTGTAAGATATTCTGCAGATTGAAAGTGAGGGGAGGGTGCCTGGGTGGCTCAGTCGGTTAAGCGTCTGCCTTCGGCTCAGGTCATGATCCCAGGGTCCTGGGATTGAGTCCCGCATCGGGCTCCCTGCTCTGTGTGGAGCCTGCTTCTCCCTCTCCTCCCCACTTGTGCTCTCTCTCTTACTATCTCTATCTCTCTCATTCTCAAATAAATAAAATCTAAAAAAAAAAAAAGAAAAGAAAGTGAGGGGATAGAGAAACATTTGTCATGCAAATGGATGTGAAAAGAAAGCTGGTGTAGCAATACATGTATCAGACAAAATCGACTTTAAAACAAAGACTGTAACAAGAGACAAAGAAGGACACTATATAATGATAAAGAGGACAATCCAACAAGAAGATATAACAATTGTAAATGTTTTTGCACCCAACATGGGAGCACCCAAATACATAAAACTGTTAACAGCAGACATGAAACAGTTGATAGTAATACAATAATAGTAAGAAACTTTAACACCCACTTACGTTGATGGACAGATCATCCAAACAGTAAATCAACAAGGAAATAGTGGGCTTTAATGACACAACGGGCCAGATAGATTTAACAGATATATTCAGCAGGATATATAAGAGAAAATGATATACCATCTTTTTAAGTGCACATGGAACATTCTCCAGAATAGATTACATATCAGGCCACAAAGCAAGTCTCAATAAATTTATAAAGATCAAAGTCATACTCTGCATCTTTTCTGACCACAATGCTATGAAACTAGAAATTAACACAAGAAAAAAAATCTAGAAAGAGCAAGAATGCATGGAAGTTAAATAACATGCTACTAAACAATGAATGGATCAGCCAAGAAATCAAAGAAGAAATATAAAACCACATGTAGAGAAATGAAAATGAAAACACAACAGTCCAAAATTTTTGAGATGCAGCAAAAGCTGTTCTAAGAGAGAAGTTTATAGCAATACAGGCCTACCTAAAGAAGCAAGAAATCGCTAATAAACTAACTACACATACAGGAGCTAGAAAAAGACGAACAAACAAAATGGAAGACCAGCAGAAGGAAGGAAAAAATAAAGATTAGAGCAGAAATAAGTGATAAAGAAACTAAAAACAAAACAAAACAGTAGAACAGATCAATGAAACCAGAAGCTTGTTCTTTGAAAGATCAATAAAAATGCTAAACCTCTAGCCAGACCCATCCAAAAAAAAGAGAGAGGACTCTAATAAACGAAGTCAGAAATGAAAAAGGAGAAATAACAACTGACACCACAGAAATACAAAGGATTGTAAGAGAATATTATGAAAAAGTATATCCCAGCAAATTAGACAACTTAAAAGAAATAAATTCCTAGAAACATAACCTACCAACTGAAGCAGGAAGAAATAGAGAATTCGAGCAGACTGATTTCCAGCAATGAAATTGAATCAGTAATCAAAAAATTGCCAACAAAAAAAAGTCCAGGACCAGATGGCTTCACAGGTGAATTCTGCCAAACATTTAAGGAAGAGTTAATACCTATTCTTCTCAAACTATTCCAAAAAATAGAAGGAAAACTTCAAAATTTGGTCTATGAAGGTAGAATTACCCAGATACCAAAACCAGATAAAGACACCACAAAAAAAGAGAACTACAGTCCAATACCTCTGATGAACATAGATGCAAAAATCCTCAACAAAATATTAGCAAGCCAAATCCAACAATACATTAAAAAAATCATTCACTATGACCAAGTCGGATTTATCCTTGGGATCAAGAGTGGTTCAACATTTGCCAATCAGTCAGTGTGATACAACACATCAATAAGAGAAAGAATAAAAACCATATGATCATCTCATAGATGTAGAAAAAGCATTTGACAAAGTACAACGTCCATTCATGATAAAAACACTCAGCAAAGTAGGTTTAGAAGGAACATACTTCAACATAATAAAGATCTAATTAAAAAAAAAAAAAGCAAAAAAAACAAAAAAACAACCCCCAGTGAAACATCTTACTCAATGGGTAAAACAGAGCTTTTCCCTTAAGGTTAAGAACAAGACAAGGATCTCCACTCTCACCATTTATATTCAACATTTATTATATATATAAAATGGAATATTACTCAGCAATAAGAAAGAATAAAATCTTGCCGTTTGCAACAACATGGATGGAGCTAAAGATATTATGCTGAGCGAAATAAGTCAGAGAAAGACAAATACCATATGATTTCACTCATATGTGGGATTTAAGAAACAAAATAAATGAACAACAACAACAAAAGAGACAAACCAAGGAACAGACTCTTTTTTTTCTTTTGTTTTTTTTAATTAGTACATTTTTATTGTTATGTTAATCACCATACATTACATCATTAGTTAAGGAACAGACTCTTAACTATAGAGAACAAACTGATGGTTACTAGAGGGGAGGTGGGAAGGGGGATGGGTGAAATAGGCGATGGGGTTGAGTATACTTATCTTGATGAGCACTGAGTACTATATGGAATTATTGAATCACTATATTGTAAACCTGAAACTAATATAACACTGTATGTTAGCTACCCTGTAATTTAAAAAGAAAAGAAATGCAAATTAGTGGGCACCACCCAAACCTGCTCAATCAGTGTCTGGTAGGGTTAAGGGTAGGGGGGTTGGGGAGAGGGGGAGTCCCAGTATTCTGCATTTTAACAAGACCTCTGGGTGATTTTTGTGCATAATAAAGTTTAAGAACCACTGATGATTTTCATTGCTCTTTACTGGTTAAGAACATACATGAGGTTTTTGTACTTATTTTCTGCCTCTTAGCAACTTACTCATATCCAAACAACTTAAAAGAAGGATAAAATATTTGTTTTCAGTGTTCTTCAATTTTTCTATTTACCAGCTAACCTCTTAATAGTATTTTTTTTTAAAGATTTTATTTATTTATTTGACAGAGAAAGACACAGCGAGAGAGGGAACACAAGCAGGGGGGAGTGGGAGAGGGAGAAGCAGGCTCCCCGCCGAGCAGGGAGCCCGATGCGGGACTCGATCCAGGGACTCCAGGATCATGACCTGAGCCGAAGGCAGTCGCTTAACCAACTGAGCCACCCAGGCGCCCTCTTAATAGTATTTATTAGAGTCCATTTTGCCATACAATAGATTGCCAAGATCATGATTCAGAAGCTTATTCAAATGTATTTTAAATGTTGAAATGGAAACAACCTGGAGATGTAATTGCCAAAATTTAATCAAGGATTTAATTTATAGCTCAGACTAGCCAAATGGATTTTCCCATTTTTCAGTTCACTGTTTGCACAAGGAAATTAAAAAGTATGGAATCACAAGCTGAGCAGGGAACCCTTGAAGAGTATTGCAGTGTGTTCACTGATTCTCATTTGCCATATTATAGCATCCTGATCCTTGGGACTTGTAGTTCCCAAAGCCAGATTAGAGCAAGTGGGGGGGGGGGGGCGGGGCGGGAAGCAATATATATTTTTTGGTCATGTTATAAATTATTGCCAGGGCATGTTAGCTCACACATGGGAATTAATAGAATAGGTTAAATATCCTGTTCTTGATTCTGTTGGTTAAAAAATGCCCTTGTTTCAACATGCCATGTCTAGCTGCCCTCAAACCACTAAACGGGGAAGAGGTATGATTGAGAATTTCATTGCCTTCTCCATTCTACCAGTGATAATAGGTTTTCACTGAGCTCTTTGCACTTGTTTTTCAAAAGCCCAAGGTTTGAATACTTTGTGCCCCACAATATCCATCACTTAGACTCTGAAGTCCCCGTGCAGATTTGACAGAGCAGTGGTTTCTCAACCATGGTTTGCCAAGTCAGCATGAGTGTCTGTGTGTTTGGAGGGGGAAAAGAAAAATGAACAGATAAGGTCAGTGATGTTCTCATCAAGGTGGGCACGTATGTTTTTATACTTACATTTGAGTGATGCTTTGCCTAACAAAAGCACTATGTTAAGATATATTGGTGTGGACCACTTCTCTCATTCTGGGTGTGATGAGAGTAGTGAATCTAAGTCTTTTTCTCTCCTGGCTAGAGTCGCATAGGTGCATCCCAATGCTTCTTTATAAAGACAAAAATCAAGATATTTCAGTAACAAATCATTACATTTAATTGAGCTATTTTTGCTTCTGGTCAAAAAGAAGCAGGAGAGAGGACAAGTAGGTCTCAAGTATTTCACAACAAGATTAGGATTATATTGTAGTTTTCCCCAACACTTTATTATGAGCATTTTCTCACGTGCAGAAAATGGAAAGAAGTTTACAGTGAATTCACTCTCTAGATTCTACCATTAATCTTTCACTAGACTTGCTTTATTACACACCCTTTGCTTTATCCATTCATCAATTCATCATATTTTTTTTAATAAGACATCAGTTGCAGACATCAGTGTGTTTCACTTCTAAACACTCAACATACATATCATTAATGAGACTTCAATATTTTTTTTTTTCCTTTTGGGATGAAACTTCCATGCAATGAAATACATGAATCTTAAGTATACCATTCCATGAGCTTTGCCAGATATATCCACCTGTGTAACCCAGAGCCCTATCCAAATAGAGAACATTGCCATCACACTAAAATTAATGAATGTACATATGTCTGAATGGATGTATACATACTGCTAGACCTGATACTTTTCTTAATTTAATAATAAGATTCCCCTAGGACTTCACATGGTAACTGTGGGGGCTGACATGTTTATCTTCTCTCTGCTCTCTTACTTAATGAAAATGACATGCTACTCAGTCTAATTGCCATGGTCCATACCCTGCACTTAGCTCATGATTTCTTAAATTTTCTAATGCTTCAGCACAATTAGTAGAAGAATGCAAGGATATATGGAATGGAAGTTAACCAGCTTTCCTCAAGACCACCTCCAATAAAAGTAAAGAGACTCATGCTTATTGATCTGCAACTTCCTCCATGTTTAGTGATCTTAAGGAAGGATGGCCAGATGCAAGAAGACAATTAGAGGCTATTTTTTAAACCAGCTCTAGATCATGGATAATGGCTGATGGGGGCTGGGGGTGCTGTGTCAAGAAGGATCCTGAGGCTATGTTTGTACTGAGTGGGAAAGTACCACAATTGCTTAGTGATGTCTGCTATAGGAAGAAGCTGGAGCTGGAGAGTAAGAACAGGCATGTCATCCTTGTAAATACTACATTTGAGTGAGCTCCGGAACTATTCCATATAGTCATCCAAAAACACTTCTAGATTGAACCAGGCAACTGAAAAGGGGTGGAAGGATGCTGAGTACCACTCTGAAATGCTTCTGTCCTAGTTCATATTTGTATCTTCTTAAAATAATGAGTGTTCCTTTGCAACAGCCCTACCCACAAAAGGGATGTCTAAATGTGGTTTAAAACTTCAAGGTGGGGGGAAAAGAATAAAAGAGACAAGAGAAAAAGAGAGGGCCAGGAAGAGATAGAGACTGATGTATTCTATCATTCTGAGAATGAAATGTGTCATTATTTGCCCTAAGGCCGATACACCCCAGGAATTACTCAATTTTACAAGTGTAAAATTTTACAAGGGTAGAAGTCTAAGTAGCTAAATATTTGAGTCACTGCTGCTGTGGGCTAATAACAACAAGTTCAACTTTACTGCTTTTTCTCTAAGAAGCAAAGAGATACTGGGTCAGTCAAGATTATACTTAGCATGTGGGGGCAGGATGGTGGGGTGAAGACTCAAGCTTTGCTTTCATCTTTTTACTAGCCAGCTTTATTTATAACACTTCAGTAGATGTCAAGACGGTTTGTTTTGTTCTTCGTAGCCTCTGTGTGATCCGTCTCTTCACCGCAGTGTTCCCCAAGTGTGAGTTGCTTGGCTCAGGATCATTTTCAAAGACTCAATTTTCAAAGCAAATACACACACAAGTCAGTAGTATTTTCGAAAACAGAGGTTATCACATTTTTCCAAGGGGGATCGACAAGAGAAAGGAGGATGCTGAGAAGAGAGTGTGAGTTTATTTCACATGGCAGGTCTCATAAAGATGGCATCCCTGGATGTGCTGCCCAACTGAATAGCAGCAGCGGGGAAGAAGTGGTGGGGGAGGACTCCAAGGAGAGCAAAGCTAAAGGAACAACTTTGGCGAAGTGTGACGTTTAAGGACATATGCCTGCAGGGTATGTTTTCTTACCAAGTCTCACATTAACTCCTAACCAGAAATACACGGGGGGGGGGGGGGGGGGGGAGGAAACACACACACTCCACCCCCACCCCCACCCCACCCCCACATGCCCCATCTCCCTGACGGGAGAAAATTGTTATTTCATCAGGATTACCAGGGAATGTTGCTGCTCCTAAGGCTACAGCAAATATTTCTGGGAGTGCCTTTTCAGAACCTGGGAACAGAGACAGTCTGTCTGAGCCCAGCTCAACGTCTCTTTCTTATCACTTTTTAAAAGCATGTTATCTTTAAGAGCCAAATTAACATTTCATGATATGGCTTCTCAGCAGGAGATACTTGGGCATCACAGGGCTAGACTGGAATGACTAAGCAGTTTTATAAAATGACTGTCACCAGAGCGGCTGGCTTGACAGTTTGGGTGTCAATCGTATATTGAGGCTGTTTGTCCCTGTCTAGATTTATGTGGCTCTCCAGGAAGACAACTGCTTGTTCCAGGCAAGGTGTGAATAGTGTAATAAGCAAAAGGAGACACAAAGTATATTCTTATGAGAAGCCAATTAATTAGTCACACGACTCGTTAAAAGTAGGGTCCTTTTTCTATTTTGAACGTTGCATTACAGAGAATTTTCTCAGTACATCCGAGGATACACTTATTGCCATCCTGGACAGCAATTTTAATAGTACAGGGCTGTGCTGGGGCTGTCAGTCCATCAGTTAAAACTCAAAAATAAAATAAGGGCCATACTCATTCCTAGAAGATGAGTCCTAATATTTAAATTTTGACTTTTGATGCATTTCTCTGTTACTCATGGCACCAAAGAATTTCAAATGCCATTATAATGCACTTTAATGTTTTAAAATAGGTGAGGTTAGGCAGACGCATACAGTTCTGTAAAGTGAAGTATATACATGCACTTCTCTAGGTAGCTATATGATAAGAAATTTTACTGTGTGATTGTAGCATTTATAGAATCAATGAAACTAACTGTGGATGGTAAAAGATCACACTTCTAGTGGATTTATTTTATTCTGTATAGAATTATATCTGGGGCTCAGTCTGTTAAGTGTCTGCCTTTGGATCAGGTCATGATCCCAGGGTCCTGGGATGAAGCCCCGCATCAGGCTCCCTGCTCAACAGAGAGCCTGTTTCTCCCTCTCCCTCTGCTACTCCCCCTACTTGTACTCTCTCTCTCTCTGTCAAATAAATAAATAAAATATTTTTTAAAAAATAAAAATTAAAAAAATTTTTAAAAATTAAAAAAGAGAATTACATCTGGAGAGTGATAGAATAACTATTTTTTGTGGAATGGGTTGTGTTGTTAGTTTTTTGTTTGCTAGATAAAGGCACTTTGAGCAAAAGTTTTTCTCATAAGTTCTGGGATATTATATATATATTTCACATATGTTTGCACCCTTCTATTTCTTTTATCATAGGGTATCAATTTTTAAACATTACATATTATCTCAAATTCAAATGTCATTATCCTGCATTGCTTCTGATATCACGGAATATATTTTTTAATTTTATTTAGACAGGTACAGCTGTGGACCAAAATTCAAACAGTTAAAATTCAAAGTTCATTTTACACACAGACACACACACACACAGACACACACACACACACTGTAAGGTGAGGAGGCTGGTCTTGTGTACTTTAAGGAGTAATACTTCCATATTTTCTTACTGTCTGTTCTTGGTAAACCTAAATAGGATTCTCTTAGGTTTATTTTGCATATTGTATTTTCTAGACATCAGTTTTCCTTTTATTGTGTATGTGTGTGTGTCTATATAACTTCTTACATCTTTTGGTGGTCACAACAGATTCTGACGAGCATTTTTTATAGTGAGGGGTTTTAAAACTTCTGATAATGAGTTTTTGTTTTTTTCATTGATACATTCGGTAAGATACTCAGGCCACTGCTTAACCTCTATTCTAAGCCCATTCCAATCCATTCAAGCATAAATGAGTTTTTTTTTTAATTTATTCTTTAAAAGAAAAAAAAAAGTATTAGTTGCAATTGTTCTTTAGCCACTACTTGACACCGGTAGGTAAGTGCTGGCTGTCACCCCCCCTTAACTGTGGAGATGGACAGGTTCATAGATAGATATGTCAAGAGGTGTGTGTGTATAGATATGTCAAGAGGTGTGTGTGTATGTATAAATATATATATTTATACATACACATACATATATATATACACATATATGTTAAGAAAGAAATCATTCGCAAAAACAATAGGCATCAACCATAGGACTTGATCTTGAATAAGCAGGCATAATGGCCAAGAAATATTTATGTTTGTTTAAGGAGCTTTCTTTAAAAGCTTATATGCAGGGCGCCTGGGTGGCTCAGATGGTTAAGCATCTGCCTTCGGCTCAGGTCATGATCTCAGGGTCCTGGGATCGAGTCCCGCATCGGGCTCCCTGCTCCTTGGGAGCCTGTTTCTCCCTCTGCCTTTCTCTGTCGCTCTGTCTCTCATGAATAAAAAAAAAAAAAAAAAATCTTTAAAAGCTTATATGCATAATTTCAGGACATACCTAGGTCTTGACTGCAGCTTCACTTTGATAGGAACTCCAGGGACCTTTCCTGGAAGCTTTCAATGGACACTCCCTCCCAGTTACTCCACCTCACCCCCACTGTCTGCATCACTACCACCGCCAGCATCACCCCACTGGAGTGATCAGGAAGACTTGGAATGTGGGTGTTCCTCCAATGTACTTTACCGACATTGCTTCCAAAGGGGCTTAGAGCGAGGGCCCAACTTGGAATTGTAGGGCATCGCTGTCACTGTCCAGAGCTTCATTTGGAGGTGGAAGCAAGCACATTTGACCTCAGACAGGCGGAACTGACAAGTTGAATGCAAACTGGCATTTAGTACATATTCTGGAAGGCTCCCATCCCAAGGCTTTCTCTGCCTACTTAGGCAGACAGAAGAGATTTTTTTTTCCTTAGTTCTCACTTGTTCAGTCTTGACTATATCTCTATTCCTTGAAAGAGCACCTTTAATCTAACTGTGTGTGTGCCTCCCAATGAAAAGATCATTTCCTGG